GGAGGGTTCCCGGAGAAGGGCCTCTCCCGCCGATCTCAGGGGGCAGCTGGGCATATATGGATGTAAGCGCTCCTTCAGGTAACCAGGACCCAAGCCGTTTAGGGCTTTATAGGTCATCACCAACACCAACACCTCCGTCATCTCACTCTCTAGCAGTGAGACCCTCCCCAGGTGTGTGGAGTCAGACGCTTTACTGAAAGGGAGGGACCAAGTTTTGCTTCAGCTCTTGACCTGAACAGAGGTTTCCCCTTAACTTCAGCAATAAGGCTATTTAGAGCTCGGACTGGTATCTGTTGAGTCTCAAGTAAGGAGATGCATTTGAAAGATGGCCTTGAGTTTTGGATCCAGAGGGAGGAAGAGATGGGACCAGCTCACGACACTGAACATGCAGTGGGGTGTCTCTAAATAATTTCTCATACTTCTGCAAATACTGGGCTTCCTCCAAGCAGATGCCTCCTCTTCCTCCTGGGTAATGCTGTCTTGGTGACATAAGTAAAGGCACTCAGAGCCAGAACATCAAAAGGATCCAGCCCCATTCCTGCTGCACATCTGCAAGAAAGTCCCCTGTGCATCATCCTCTGGGACCCACAGATTGCAGGGAGCCTCCCCAGGCAGAGGCTTCCCTCCATGCCATGCTCTGGCTGCTTACCTCCTCCAGCGAGGCTCCCGGGGAAACTTCCTCCCCTGCCTTGTTTCCTAGGGCCGTTAGATAATCCAATGTGAGGCAGTTTGGATACAACCTTAGGCTGTGAGATGCCATCAGGCAGCATAAGGAGGAGCAGGTCCCCCAGCTCCGACCTTGGAAAAGCACCCCAACTTTGGAGTGCCCTCCCACTGCCCTGACATCTGGCGTGCTGTTTCCATGCTGGCTGCAGTTCTGCAAGGTGGAAGGCTTTGCAGCTGGAAGGTTCTCAGAAAGTGGACAGGAAAGAGGAACCTAGGTGGTGCCTCTGGCTCTTCTTCTTCAGAGCCAGGGTAAAACACACAAAGAGCCAAAATCAGCCATCATTTTTTTGGAGGGTGGGGGTAAGGAAAATGCAGAGGAGCCCCTTTGCTGCGTGTGCCTCCCACTGGATACCCATCAGCTCCTGGTTATCTGTTGCCACACCGGATAGCACCGATAATGAGTTCCAGGGCAATCTGAACCCCGTCCACGCATAAGCAGTGCAGTTGTGCAAGTTGCACATGGATAAAAATAACTGCTGTAAAGCAACAGGCCTATTTCCTCTGTATCAGAAGAAGCACACCAGTGTTGTTGCTCTCTGTTTACAATCCACCTACACACACGCACACGTGCACACACAATCCTATATCCATATATAACTATAGCTAGGATTGGATTAATCCATCCATTTCATGCTTTTCCTGTCTTAAATCTGTTTTTGTCCCATTTCCGTGTCCATTTGTAGAATGGCTGAAGTCTGCGAGCTACCTGCGATGCAATCTTGTATGCGTTTCACCTAATACATGCAGTGTTTTCTAACATATGGATTTTACATAGTGCTTTCTGACATTATTTGTGTTATTTTCATAAATATATGCACTGTTGTCCACATTTCTTCACTGGGGAACTGCATCATAACAGTCAAAGAAATGCAAAAAACAAAACGAAAACAAAAACCCATGGATAACTGCACTATGATTACTAGGTTGGATCAGAGAGTGTGCATTTCATACATTTGTACTAAAAAGTGAACCGCCCACCCCTCCAAAAAAGAGTTCTTCTGAGTCCTACCTGAAACTCAGGACTTCTTACATTTGTTGAAGTGGGATGGGGGTACACTAAAAAATAACATCATACATTTATTAATCCTAGCACATCATAAAGACTCTTAGTCGCTCTCGTCTAAGTTGATCCTTGTCATCTGTGGTCTTTTTATGTACTTGTATCTAAAAATAATACCTTTTTAATGTACTGCCTAATATATCAGTGCCACCTTTCCAGTTAATCAAAAGGCTTTTTTAATCTGGTCACTTTATTGTTTAACTACATTATCCCTTGTGTTCATCCACCAACAAATGCTACCTGTTCCTCACATTGCTTTTTATGTTTCCATTTCCCTGAACTGTGAGATCTCAAACTATTATACATCTCTTTTATCTCATTAGCATTTGGTCCAATTTCATTCCATAAAAACTAGTAATGTCATGAAGATGGATGCAGCTATGAATATTCTTATCTATACTGAGCTTTGCTCTTCTAGATTAAAATACATCAGAGAGTAGAAAAGCAGAGGGTTAGAAGAAAGCACCTTCTGAACAAGTGATGAGCAGTCCAGCATGAAGCTACACTGCGCGCTTGCCCTGAACTCCATCTTCCTGGTAACAGTTGCTTGCCATCCAGCTAGTCAGAATGAGAGACGAGGCAGGGACCACAAGCTCCTTTTGATTTCCTTTGATGGATTTCGATGGGATTATGACCAGGATGTGGAAACACCAAACATGGACAACTTAGTCAAGGAAGGTGTGAGAGCAAAATACATCACTCCTCCATTTGTGACTATGACTTCACCTTCCCATTTCACAACCATCTCAGGTAAGTCCTGTTACCAGGAACAACCTGTATTGTATGGATGCAACTTCAGTTAACTCCCTGATAGTATTGTGACCCTGGTTTCTTTTGCTTTTGTATTGAGGTTTTGCCTTCTTAAAATGTTTAGCCCCAAGAGGGGAAACCTTTTTTCCTGTCACAGTCAGCATAACTTTGGTTGAATTTCTTGGCTCCAAGTTCCAGCAGTGAGTGCAGCCAGAGACACAACTGGGGAGCATTATCTGTGCGATTCTTGCCTTGGTTGGGTACACGGTGGGGGGAAAGTGAGGTGCAAGATTCCCTCTAGCAGCATTGTAGTTACAGGACACCACAGGAAGGCATAAACTGTATCAGAAGCCCAGAGCAGAGTCTATAAAAGAACATGGCCCAGGCAAATGGGGCAGGGCCCGAGAAGAAGAGAAAGGGTTTGGGCAGAATCTGGAGGCCTGGATTCAGAGAAGCCTGCATTTGACTGGTTGGCCAGGTATCTCTAAACTCCAGTTTAATGTCAGTTACAAGAACTGGTACTTTTTCTAGATCCAGGGTCTCTCTGAGCTACATTTCTGAGCAGGCAAGTCTTCTGTTTAGCGACAGCTGGAGGCCTTTGGGAAAGACACCCTCCACGGACCCTTCCTTTATGGAGACTTCGTTTCCATCCTCATGGCCATCAGCTGCTCTTGCTTCTCCTCCTCTTTCTCATCATGGCCAGCACTTGCTTACTTAACAGACAAAGAGCTAGGGAGCAAAGGGGCCAGGACATCTCCTTCCCCAAAGCGAAAGGCAGGGGAACAACCAGGCTGGCTAAGAACAGGAGCAAGTCTAGGGGAGCAAGGTCCGTCTGAGCCCTGCTGGGGAGCAACTCCCCGGCAGGTGCCCAGCCATGCCTAGCCTGGATGTCCTGACAGTGAGAAACAGGATACCTGATTGCATTTTCATCCAGCAGGATCTGAAATGTGCGTTCCCCCTAAATCCATGCAAGCGACGAGTACAGTACTGTGCAGTACCCAGAACGTCAGTTCACTCACATGCTATTATTGTGCCTTCTGTGCTTTTCCAGCTTATCCTAAGCACTGTCTTGGCTTTTCAGTCACTGGAAGACTTGGCCATTCAAAAGCTGCTGAGTGCAGCACACGGAAGCTGGAGCAGAGACTGGCCACGTGTAGTGACGGATGAGTGGGGTGTCCTCAGGCACCGATCCTCATTTGCATGACATGCTGATCTCCATCTGTGGCACAGTGGAAAGCATGCCATCCATGCACGGTGATCCTCTATGATCTCCTCAGCCCATTCCAAAGCACCAATAAGGAATTCTGTCCAACAAGAGGTGAGGTGGACCACTATGCTAGGCATGCTGCAGCATGGGATCTCATCCAGACTGCAACTAGACTAGTCTATTCTAGATTATTACTCCCTGAGATTATGAGTACCAACAGAAATGGAGTCAAAGTTGGACACTAAGAAAATAAAGGGATGCATCGGTGGACCAGCATGCTGAGCCAGGATCTCCTCGCAAAGGTCTTCCGTTAAGGCCAGAAGTACAAGAGTAGACTTCAGAGAGTGACGCGTACAGCACAGGCAGTGTGGTAGATGAATCGAGGAAAGTATGAATGGTGGAAAATCTTGAGGGAGAGAGAGGTTATGAAACATGTCCAATTATGCCCATCGCAAGTGAAGGAAGAAGACTGGGGAAGGAGGGCTGTGCAGACGCTACAGAGCAGGGGCTGCTGGGAAGATCATGACAGATGGAAAAAGGAGAGCAATTCCCTGTACTTAAGGCAAGGGTGGGCCACGCTGGAGGGCCAAATTCCACAACCACCCCAGGAACCTCAGGAGGCTGAACCTGCCCACTGAACCTGCCCACTGAAATTGCCACCACCATCCCACTGATTTCGCTGCTGGAATTCCGTGGCACCACAACGCCCCAGAGAGAGGGCACCAGCGTAGCAATTAGTGCACTGTCAAAAAAGAGGAAGCCCGTCCTCACAAAGAAGCCACCGGAGGACACTGGCCTCTGTCACACTTGCATGTACTCATTTTCATGCATAATGCAAATTTAGAAATAATCTTTCCTGTGGAATAACGGACATGGAAATGGAAATGTGATGCCATAAAGAGGAAGTCTGTGACCAGGAGATCTGTGTGGATTCAGCCATTCGGTCTCCTCTCCAGGTGCGAAGGCCCTGGGCGGTCCTGTGCCAGGGTTCCTTCCTAGACTCGGGCAGGAGACACCTTGAAGCAGAGAGTGTCCTCCGTAAAATACAGCACTCGGCCACCAAAGCCGTATGTCGACCTCTCCGAGCTTCAGGAGTCACTCAAGCCCTGGAGCTTACTGAAGAAGTATTTGTCACATCCAGACCAAAGGCACGGGCAGCAGCAACACAGATCTAACAGGTCTGTTCTTTAGGGGATCCATCCAGGCTAACCATGGATTCGCCTGTGTTTCGCAGATGGTCAGGCACCTTTCATTACATCCACATCCCAGACAGAATTTTACTGATTTTCAGGAAAGTACCAGAATCTCATCCATGCTTGGGAAGCACATTCATACCATAGTGCACTGGTGCACATGTGTATTTGCACCAATCCCTCACTGTAAATGTAAAAACAGTTAGTCCACAAGCCCATGAAGCCTGTGAAACTCAGAAAAGGCCAGTCTGCTGGAGAATCTGCAGGTCAGATTCACAGAACTCCACAATCACGTCACTGAGATCCATTGAGAATTTCTGACATTCGCAATCCATGCACGATCTTAAATGTGATAACAGAAATACCTTCCTTATTTTATGAGGTCTCTTCCATGCTCCAGATGGGGTGCTCTGTAACTCTCATAGATTTGCAGGAAGCTTCCTTGAGGATATGCCCCAAGGAGGGGGAAAGAGCAACTGGCAGTTGTATTGTACAGGCCCTACGAAGGAGATAGCAAGGACATTAAAAAGGCTCAGCAGGTGGCAAGCAAACTTTCCCAGGGTCTAAAAGCCAAGAGAGTTTTGTGGAGCCATGCCAAGGCCTTCAACTTGTTAGGAATAGCTTTGCAGAGAGAGCTTTGCATTGGAGCTGCCTTCCCGCATCATTCTGCCCCCAAGAACAGCCTTAAGGGCCACAAGAACAAGCTCCTAGCTGATTGAAACAGCTTTGTTCTGAGAAAGGTGGATGGAGCCTGCACACAGCCTGAGAAAGGCAGCAACAGTGGGAGAGAGGAGCTTTATGAAAGCCATGGCAAGAGGCAGTGCCTTTTGTTCTCTGTCGGTGCACCACTCACTCAAGCATCCTTGGGGTCCATGGAAGAACCCCTGGCCCATTGGAAGACCAAGCCAGCCACAGTGAAGGGACACAAGCCTTCCTTTGCCTGCCTATATTCTGCATCCATATTTCACCATCATATTCAACACACTGCATATCATCCTTAGCACAGGAGGTTTCATTTCTTGCTAAGGATCCTCCAAGCTCAAGTCATGTCCCTTGGCAGAGCCAGGCCCTCATGGCTGAACTGGCCCTGAAAAAGAGGAAGGCGTCTCCCAGAAGAGATAGACATAGGATCATCCCTCAGGTTCATCAGAAAAGGGTCTCACCTACGAAAATACATTTCTTTCTTCCTTTTAAGGAAAAGAAAAGATAAAGCCTCTGTCACTTCTGTTTACATAGCTTTGTTTTTACAAATAAATTGATTTCACCTGAATAACAACAGCTGAATAAAACCTTCCAGAATATGACCTCTGTCTTCAAGAGAAGAATAATCCATAGAAGGAAGAAACAGAATTTGCAGTCCAAGACTTTATCAGATACAAAGAGATAAACTTTGCATAAGCCATGATAAAAATCTTATCCTTGGGTTCATGGGCCAATGAACTGCCCTGCTTGCAAAGATCCTTCTGCAGTTTGCAAAAAAAAAAAAAAAAAGGCTGTTGTAAAGGGAACTCCTTTGACATGAAAGGGGGAAAGTGCAGCCATCAAAAGGGCCCAACGTCAGCATTTCCTAAGACAGGCCCTTTTGCACTAGGTTTACCTGCAAAATATTGGTTGAGCAACTGGCACCGTGATCTGGCAGCCTCCAGAAGCATTGGATTAGAACTCTCTTTGCAACTTCAGGGGGCAACTGCAATCCCTTGCCTCAGGAGGAATCTAAGTTGGGAAGGCTAACACGGGTGGGAGGGTGGGTTGGTTTTTTGGGGGGTCACTTATTTGGTACTGGTGTTTAAGCAATTGTATTTCCTAGACTTGTTCTACCAAGGTTGATATCCACCTTGAAGATCCTATTTCTGGAAGAGAAAGGCATGCAACAAGACTTTACAGGTCTCAGTTAATCACATCCCACAAATAGCTAACAGGGTCAGGAAAGAGGAATCGTTCTGGTGGCAGAGAGAGGTTGGAAGACAATCGTTATGAACTGGACATTTCCACAGCCATGAATTTAATGGGCCTAGCAAGACACACACATGCAGGAGAGCATTCAGAACGGTGGCTCCCATTCCCACGACCATCTTGGTAAACTGGAGCTGCCACTTTGGAGGGACGAGTTTTGAACGGCAGCAACTGAGCAGCCCCCATGAGCCATTCCCGCGAATGTCCCTGACAGGCTGGCCTAGGCTTTTTGCCGCCTGAGACACAGGAACAGGCAGGTGTCCACCAGCCTCTGCTCAGCAGCTGGCCGGACCTGTGGCTGGATCTTGCTTCAACACTGGTGATGGGGCAGCATCGCCCTGCGGTCAGCGGGCCTGCCTGGGCAGCACGGGGCAGGCAAATGGCTCTCTCCCCGACCACCTGCCGGCCTCAGCCTTGCCTAGTCAGCCTTGGCCCTTGCATCCCAAGCAGCACAACAACAGAACATGAAGTGCGCAAGAGCTGATCGGGATATCTTTCCCAGGTTCGTTCTTTCTTTTCAGAAGCAGCTATCATTTTCCCCCACAGTCCTGTCTTTCTCTGAATTCAGCTCTTAGGATCACTGCTCTATGGTACCCATGATGTGGGCCTGGACTTGCAGAACCCTTTAGCGTCTTGCATCACTGCCGCCATTTTGCACCTGGGTCCACCTGATGGGCTGCAGCAGCCTTCCCCAACCTTGTGCCTTCCAGACATGCTTGGACTGCAGCACCCAGAATCCCCAGTCAGTGTCCCTGCTAGATGAGCATTCTAGGAGTTGCAGTCAAAACGCCTCTGAAGTCGACCAGGCTGGGGAAGGCGGGACTACAGGATCTGCGTTTTTTAAAAACCCTTTCACGGCCTTCCCGTGGCTGCTCCCAGATTCTGGAACTCCATGCTGAGTGAGCTCGGTTAGTTATTCTGCGGACTGGCAAAAGATGCTTTAATTCAGGAAGATCTGGGGCATGTGAACTGGTCAGCCGGGCTGGATGCTTCTCACTGTTGTGATGGCAGGTTGGCAAGCCAGCTGCCAGGCAGCCTGGGGGCAGGATCTCTGCCAGCCCCAGTCCCTCAGCCAGCGGTGCAAGCAGGCGTGCCCCCTCTGGGGGAGGAAGCGGCCCACGGCCACTGAGCATCTGCCCAGTCCCCTTTTAAAGCTGTCCACACTGGGGGCCATCCCCACTTCCTGTGGCAGCGAAGTCAACGGTTCAATCACGCCTGGCTGAAAAGCTATTTCCTCCGATCTGTCCCAAACCTCCCATCAATCGGCTTCACGGCATGACCCTGCACTCAAGGGCGGAAATGTCTCCTTCTCCACTCTCTCCTCACAGTGCATTATTTTAGGCATCTCTTTCATGCCTCCCCTTTCTTGCCTTTTTTCTAAGCTAGACCAGTCCCAGATGATGGAGTCACTCCTCACAGCCCCCTGACCGCCCTCCTTGCCCCTCTATGTACTTTTCCCAGCTCAAGGCTTCCTAATCTCTTTCAGCCCAAGGGCTGAATTCCATTTTGGAGGAGCCCCGAGGAGCAACATTTTCTTGGTGGGTGGAGCTGCAAGAAACAGGGGGCTGGACGTAGGACCCAGAATAAGGATGCAAGCGATGCAAAACAAAACCACGCGGTTCAGCCTGAAGCTCTTGCTGCCAGTAAGTAACTCTTAGGAAAAGCATTTCAACCTTTCAGAGGCAATTCTCAAAACCTGGGAAGGTACAAATGATTGACAGCCAAGGAAAGGGGTGGCACCAGCTAGGGCCGAAGGTGTGGCCTGCCAAGGAAGCCCAGAGGGCTGGATTCGACCCTTGGGGCCTGAGGTGCAACATTCCTGCAGAAGTGAAATTCACAAGACCATCTGTGTCCTTTCCTTGGGAGCTCTCACACACAGAGAAAGTGGTTATTTTACCTAAAGGCTGACTAAGTTCAACACAGCTCTAAACTCTGTAATGCAATTACGTGTTTATAAGCACTCATTATTTACTGGGAATTAATTAAAACAGGCAGGCAGATATGCTTATATGCCAACAAGCCATACAGTAGGTTTTAATTAATATTCCTCATTAAGAAAATCTTCCCATAAAGTAAATACATTACTCAGATAATGATTTGCTTAGTTTCTGAATGTGATTGGCTAAAACGGATTGGCTTTTTAATCCAAAGATGCTCTATAGCATGTGCCAGTAAATTGGGGAAGCCTGTAACATGGCCGTCCCTCCTGTCTTCTTGGTCTTCTTGGCCTCACACTCTGCCCGACATCACAAATGGCTCTCTGGCCAAATTAGCAACATCACAGAGGAGTTCACATCCCTCAAGAAAGTGCGTCAACAGGTTCCATTGTTGTATTGCTCTAACAGTGAGGAAATTCTTCCTGGTGTCTAGTCTAAATCTGGTTTCTTTTAACACAAGTCCATTATTTCATTTCCTGCACTCCGGAATGGACGAGAAGAAGTCTTGTCCTTGCTCTTTGTGACAGCCTTTGAGGTGCTTGTAGGGGGCTATCATATCTCCCCTTGACCCTGGCCTTGTTCCTTCGCCTGATGAATTTTGACTGGTTTCCAGGGATTCTGGTCCCAGTTCCCCTCCCACCCAGTCACTTTAAAGCCCTCTGGACAAAGCTTACTAGAGTGTTGAAAGTGTTAAGCTATTGTAAGAAAACTTGGTGTCCATCGATCAAGCTTCTCACCATCTCCTAATAGGGATCTTAGCACAAGCTGCTAGGCAGCTCATGCTGCCAGCTCTCATTGTGGTACAAAACACAGCCTTCGGTTACCTGGACTCTTTTTTTGTACATCTTCAGCCAAGGCAATGACTCACTTAATCACAACTTCATGCACTGATAACTGTAAGGCAATCACTAATGCGTTCACACAAAGACTTCTCCATCTGACCTTCACATGGAGCAAGAATTTGTCTACACTTAAAGTTTCATCCTTCTTATCTGAACGTTCAGGTCTGGTATTTCAATAACCAGTTTGTAGTCTCAGGATTCAAAACATGGATTTAAAGGTTACTCAGAGTTATTGTTGTCAGCGTTTTTCCCCTGGCTTCTTGTCAAGAGCATTAAAAGAGTTTTCTGTTTTAAAATAATCATCTCTCCACAAAGTTGTTTTCCACTTGGCAATGTAAGCTTTGAACAACTCCCAAAGGCACTAGCACTTTGCTTATGCTCAGGAGCTGCATGTGCATGCTGCTTCTGCAATTCTCAGAAGCACTGATTTTCTCCGGAGCAGCTCTGTGTTCCTAGCAGGATGGCTGCCCCCACTGGTCATCCCAGCCACACCTGCCGCCTCGCCCTCTGCAGGGTTGCCATGCCAACCCATCCCGGGAGCAAAGCACCTCAGACAGCACCTGCTGTCTGGAAGGGGCTGTCCCCAGTGGGCCTGGGGGCCTCCTGGGCAATGCCCGGAAACTGCTCCCCCCCGTGTCCCACAGGGTGCAGGTGGCATCCTCGAGACCCTTCGCCTTCTCCTTGAGGGGGTTGCCAGCTTGCACTCAACACGAGTGTATCCTGGCTCCTCCCGGGGGAGGCAGACAAAAACTGCGACACCTGCCACTCCCACCATGGCCTCCTCTTGGTCTGGCACAGGCCACCCCCGGGATCCTTATATCTACTTTCCCCCAGCTTGTCTTGCCTACACTACCATGGCTTGAGGCTGGATGCCCTATTCCCTCAGGAAGGACAAATGCCCAGGGAAGAGAGCAGCGGCACCCTTGTTGTGTTGCCCTGAGCACGCCGCCTGTTGGCCTAGGATGCCTTTCCTGCCTTGGGTTCCTTGCTGCTCTTCGGCACTCCCCTTGGCTTCTTCAGCTCCTCCTCATTCTGCCCCGCTGTGACGACCACTGCTGGGATCCAAATTTTCCAAAAAAGAAAGAGTAAATAAATGCACACACACCATATTTGTAGGGAGGAGGAGGGAAGGAAGAGGCAAAAGTCATGACGCCATTTGGACAAATCATGGGAGCCAAAAAATAATAACTGAAAATTATAATTTAGCAATGTATCGTATCTGATGTGCAGAAATCGGGTGTCCTAACAGAGAGACGAACCAGATGAAACTGTCAATGGCCCATTCTTTGTGATGTAGGGAGCATAGTGAGCTAACAAGGAAGTAGCAATTGGATGGAGCTGAGGTGGATGTTACATAATGAACTTGCAAATGTGATAAAATATTTAAAAAAGCATGAATAGATTTATGCAAATTTAAAGAGCCAGATCCTCATTTGCACAAAAGAACCAATTTGGAAATGGCACTACACATACTCACATCTCAGTTCTCGATGGGCACAAATATTTCACACACTTTTCTGGAACCTGAAAGGAAAAATCTGGCGTGTTCCATTTCCAATCACCAGAAGTCTATTGGGCTCAGATACAATGGACTTTGCAGTGTTGTATGACTTTAAGGGTAGCAGCTTTTCCGTGGAGCAAAAGAGGAGCCCAGAGAAATGCTCTTAAGCTGCGCTGCTTTCCTGCAACATCCCATCCAAGTGCGAACTTCCTCCATGATAGTGGAGGTCGCAGCCAAATTGGCCACGCTGCAAGAGAGCAGAGAGGGGGCACAAGAGCCAAGCCACTCGCTAGCGCTGCAGCACGCGCCCGTCTCCGACCTCTCGTAACCCTTTGTGCTTGTACTGTTCTAGGCCGCTGGATCGAAGACCATGGTGTTATCCATAATATGATGTTCAATACAGAGACTCTGAGAAAATACGGCCACAAAGAAACGCAGAACAAGAGTGAGTGGTGGGACAATGGCGTTCTTCCACTGTGGATCACAGCTCAGAACCAGGTAATGGATCCACGGCAAGGTGTATGTGTTGACGAATGGAATGCAATGGAATGCAATGGAGAGATGGGAATGGACATAACAGCTTCTTTGAGTTGAGCCGATTGCACAACGTTGCAGATTATTTTAAAAATGGTAGAATTGCACACATTTGCACTTAGACTAATGTACATTAATGCTCATATGCAGTTGTACAGGAAGAGAAAAATTGTTACACATCCGTTAAAAATCCAGTGATGTCAATAAATGGAAAATAGAACAAAAGACACCTGGGGAGCCATGACACACAGATGGAACAAACAGAACTAAATCCAGCTATTCCTGCTGCCTACTCAGCATTAGGTATGCCGCTATCTTATTTTTGAGTCTACTTGTTTGGCCAAGGAACAGTCATATCTAGAGTTTTGCCTGGTGGTTTCTTGCAACAAATACTGCTGAGCTTGCTAAAAGCAAGGATAGCTCTGCCAGTCCGTGAGTGGCAGCCAAGACAAACAGGCAACACCTTTATAATGCTAAAGTTCGTATGATTACTTACTCTTTTATTAGATTCACTAGATTTACTAGTTCACTAGTGACATGTTAGCGGGGCTGGCATCAAGTGTGACCCATGTGGGGGTCCCCATTGGGCCCCAGGGCAGCCTGCCCGTTCTTCGGGCCCCACCCTTTTCTCCAAACCCCAACCCCAACTTGCACGCACTTTCTCCTACTCAAAAAGGCCATTATTTGTTGCTGGCAGCAAGAACATTAAGCTAAAGAACACTGGGGCTTTTTATATTTTGAACCCCACCAGATATGGGGCATTTGCCCCCTGTTTTTTATGTTCCCTTTCTTTTCAATGGCACTAGTTAGCAGTCATACAGAATCCATGTTTGATCCTGGGCAGCTTCAGTTTTCCAAAACTAGCTCTACTCATTCATTGGCTGGTGAATAGCCAAAGAGGATTGTCCACATCTCCATAACTTTACCAGTATCTAAGTAAAGACCAGATTAGAATGCTCAAAGGAAGCCACCAGCTGAGAGCTGAAGATCAGCCAAAGTCGTCATTATTTGCAAATACCACAGCATCACCCACAAGATTTTCCAGCAACTGTTAATTCAGAACCTAATGTGTATCATGCTGAATATATTCACGCATGCATGCATGCATTCTCTTTCAAGCATCAATTACTCCGTTTCAACTCCAATTCTGGCATGCTTCTGTGGAGATAAACTTAACCAAATCTAAAAGGGATTTTTTTGATGGAATCCACACTGGCATGTTTGGATGGGAACAATAGGAAATGATTAGGCAGATGGAAAATGAAGATGGCAAAAGTTAAAATAATGAATGTTTTAATGGTAACTTGAGCTGGAGGCTCCTAAAACTCATTTTATCATTATTCTGGTTCACCAAGCCCAGAAACAATAGGACTGTTTGCATGAAATATTGGCATAATGGTCTGAGCCTGGATGCTTGGGCTTAAAACCACCCAGAATTAACCTAGGAACACACCATGGGTTGAATGTGGGTGGTTCAACCCATGAATGACCCAAAGTATCTGGGTTCACATGTTATGCTAGCAACTGAGGAATGAACCAATCAGAGAATGCTGTTAGAAAGCAGAAGTGGACACAAGAGATAGTGCATTCATTCTTTCCTGCTCACATACAACAATCCATGGCTTGTTGAAACCATGAGAGACAGTTACGTTCAAACCAGGCCAGTGTGTTTACCTGGCACTTAACCTATGCCATTGGGCAATCCTGTTGGCTGTGTAAAATTAGAAAACAGTTATGTCACAGTTGGCCACATTCTACTAAATGCAGACACGTAGGAATAAAAACTAGGGCATTATTAGAACCTGGGATCTGTGACAAGACTTAGGGAAGCTCAGCAAAAAGGGGGCTGTAGAGGCAGAAAAAGAGCTGGGGATGATCCAGTGATAGCAGTTCTGCTGCCCAAAAGACTGAGTGTCTATAGGGCTGCATGAACCCTCTTGGACCCCACCTGTCTCCTGGTCCTGCAGCCAAGAATTGCTCTCTAGCCATCTACTTTGGTGGCATCCAAGCACAGAAGAGAAGCCCCTGGGTTTAGCTGCCAGAATCTGCCACTCATGGTATCTAATTATGCAGGTTTATTTGCCTTTAGTCAATTAATTAATTGCTCAATCAGTAAGAGGCAGACAATAAATCAACAAAACATTCCGTAGCTGGTTGACAGCTCTCATACTTCTTGCTCTAGAGCAAGCAATGGGTGCATAATTCCATGCAGAGCAGTGGAATTTGATGCCAGCAAATGTCACTTCAGCAATTTAAGAATTAAATGTAGTAAATGTAACGTGCACATTTTTGTGATGCTTTAAGCTATGATTGAAAGACACCGAGGTATTTCTCTAAAGGAATGTTATCATGTTTAGTACAAACAAAAGGGAAAGAATCAAAATCTACAGCCTTATAAAACCCCTTTTCTTTTCTTTTCTTTTCTTTTCTTTTCTTTTCTTTTCTTTTCTTTTCTTTTCCTTTTCAGTTCTGCAACTTCTCTTAGCAACAGTTTCTTTGCCCTTACATGGGGAGGGTGGAGAGCTGATGCTAATTCAAATGACACACTGAGCAGGCATTTTAAAAAGCTCGTGCTGCGAAAGGTTAAATCTAGCTTACATCAAATCGAAAACAGTCTTCAAAGTGAAATGCAGGAACAGCTGAAGTTACAAGCACTTAATTTGAGTAAGCAAAAGATACGCTTTGAGGAGGAGTGGGGAGAACAGCCTGACAAAGCTACCAGCTGCCTCACCACAAAACTTTTCAGGAATAATAAGAAACACTATGGTTGTTGCAATAAAAGGAAGCAGCAGTAATAACAGGAAATAATGTTCCCAGTAAAACTGGTAATATCACAGTTTTATGGCTGCTAGTAAAGTTGATTATGTTAATAAAATGGGGAGGCAAGAACAGTAAATACCCTCTTGTTTCTACATAATTACATTTTTATAGAGTTTTATTAAATTGTTTTGTTAGAATTAGAAATTGGAGGAATTCCCCTGCCAGAGTTTGATTCCATGTGCATTCAGCCACTCAGGGTAAGAAGAATGGAAGTCTGGGACAAGAGCTCCAAGATACTTTTCTGCGAATGGGGACCCCCATTATCCCCTTCATGGCTTAGATGTACATCCAGACGTCTACACTCCTCAGTGCCATGATCTAACAGCCATTTGATCCTACAAACAAAATTGTGTATTCCAGGACTATACCACCTTAGTGGGTGGGTGGCTTGCATGTTTGTGGTAACAATCCCTTCTCATAGAAATCTAGTCTATCAGGAAGGATTTAAAAGTCTGTTGGGAGGTCCTTGAGACAAGATCTTATTTTTCTGTTGGAAGACTTTAAGATACAAGAGGGGTGGGGGACAAACGGGCTGTAGGAAACATGCAGCCCTCACAGACCCTGCCATTGTCTCATGGGATCTGGACTTCAAACATCTTGCTGGTAATGCATTTACAGAGGGGAAGAAGGGCCGTCTTTACCTGATCAAGCTTGCGTTGTGGTGCTGGACTGGAACTCAGGAGATCCAGGTTCTAGTGCCCCTTGGCCACACAGCTCACTAACCTGCCTCACAGGGTCCTCGTTGTGCAGGTAAAATGGAGTGGAGGAGAACCTTCTAAGCCACCCTGAGTTCCTCGCAAGAGGGAGAAAGGTGGGATAGAAATATAATGTAATAATGACAATATATTTGACATTTTTGCCCCTCCGTAGTGGTTTGTCACCAAAGTTCAGGTGCATCCCACCTTTTTTTCTGCTGCTGAATTCAGTGGTGGTAAGATTGTAGACCACAAGCAGGTGAGATATTGTCCCTGATCCCCCCCACCCACCCATTGCCTCACCTTTGGTGGAACCAAAGTAAAGGAACCAAACCAGGTGAGGGCACCACTTGGAAAGGACTATCACATGGGGGTGGGAGCTGCCAGAAACTAGCCCTGCCATGCCCAGGACTGCACTATAAAATAGGTATTTTGAAATACATGGAGCATCATGACAGCCACTTCGGTGGTACATGCTCACCTTATTCCTCCCCCAGCATTGCAAGTCTGTTGTTCTTTTTTCCTTTGCAAGATTTGCCTGCTTTTGAAGTTAGATTTTATAACAGCACTGACCTTTTTCCAAATCCTAAAATAGTATATTAAATATCAGGAGCAACATTATTACTTTACAGCCTCAGGTGAATGATCTAGAATTGAAGTCATACAGTGGTACTTCGGCTCACAAATGCCTCAGTTCATGACCAAATCGGGTTGTGAACAAAAATTTCACGAACATTTTGGCTTGGGTCGCAAACTCCGCATTGGGTGGCAACTGCAATCACATCCGTCTCCCCATCGCAGCGCACCCATGTTTCCGCCCATCTCTCCCCCCTCCCAGCGCGCCTGTGCCCATGCCCGTCTTCCACCCCAGTGCACCCGTGTTTGCGTCGTCTCGCCCCATCCCACCCTGCTGGGATGATGGGCGCATGCGGGGATGACAGGTGCGATAGCGGTCATGCTCGGGCGGGCGGGAGATGGAGACCATCTTTGTTGCCCTTCGTCGCTTTGCTTCACATTTTTCTGATTAAAACAAATAGTTGCAGAATGGATTAACCTCATTTACACGGAACCTTATGGGGAAATTTGACTTGGCTCATGACCAATTTGGGTCATGACCAGAGTCCTGGAACGGATTAAGTTCGTGACCCGAGATACCACTGTATTAATAGTAACAGTAATATCAACAACATCCCCTGCCAGGTGCTATTTGAATTCATTTAATGTTCTTTAGGGGTGGAATTATCTCCACTCCACCAACGGGATTTTTAAAAAATTCTGACATGGAGAGGACAGAGCAGCTGGAAGTCACAATGTACACTTTACAATTAAACTAAAGGAAGAACACAAGCAATCAGGAAAGAATGATATTAAAACTTTTTAAGCTCCTCAAACCCAGATCACAGCAAGGCGAAGTGTTCAAATGCCTGTGCAGTGGAAGATGTGCCTCAGCAAGCTGGTGCAAAGACTTGGGTGAAGGCGGGCATCCTACCTGGGCAACAAAATGAACTTGTGCCGCATGCCAGATTTGAACCAGAAGTCCCCAGCTCAGCTGCAAAGATCATTGAGTGATGCTAGAGCTATTTATCACTTTGAGCTTCCCTTTAAATCTTTTTGGATTTTAGTCCAAGTGGAAGCCAAGCCAAAAAAAAGTCATGTTTCATTGCAAGCAATATTCACAAACACTTCCTCTGGGGCATATTTCTGAACATAGCTTTTTAGGCTGCACAGAAATCTGTTTGCGCTTGGACTCCAACCATCCAGGAATTGCTGGTGTAAACAGCATTGTATATTTGTGTACACACACATGTGTACACACACATGTACACACGCACACCCCTTGTTCTTCCCATAGTACAAATATTCTGTCGTCTGCTGTCGCAGGAAGATGGAATGAAAGGGAGGGCAGCCTGGGACTTTTTTCAGAGCAGAAACTACTGTCTGTGAAATTGCACTGTATGCTTCAAATTTTACTGCCATTTCTGGCAAATTAGCATAGAAGAAGTCAGAGAATATGAAAAGTTGGTAAGCAGAGACTAGATATTCCTTTCCTTTTTTGGCTGGGGATATCTCCATTAACATTTATTCGTGAGATGGTGGAATTCAGCAAAGGTTGGATTTGGGGTTGGCCGGAAGATGAATGAAAGCACAGGTCTCTACAAGTGGAGTTACCACCGCTGCACATTCAAAGAACAGGATGCAACTTGGGATGCTGAAGTTCTTTCAATCTGAGGGCCAAATACAATTTCCCTCCTGAGGAGCTCTCAGGAGCCATGGGCCAACGGTGGACACGACCAGTGCCAAAAGGAGCAGGGTGGAACATACTGAACGTGGGAGCCCAGGTGGTACAGTGGCTCCAGGCGTGGGACTGGGACTCAGGCAAGCTGGGCTTGCGTCCCCACGCAGCCATGGGGCAGCTGGGAGACTTGGTCCGCCACAGACTCTTGGCCCAGCTTACCTACCAGGGCGGTTGTTGTGGGGATAAGACTGGAAGCAGCAGCAGGAGAATGACAGAAGGCACTTTGTAAAAAAAAAGCGGGATAGAACTCTAACAAATAAATAAATAAGTAAGTAAATACTAGGAATGTCCACATATTTGGGCCTTAAAGTACTTCCTACTACTTACAAAGCCTTAAGAGACATTTCAACCTTCTAGAAAGTGGGGGAACACCTGCATGAATCTGAATCTGCCTTGGTCGCCCTGTACGATGACCTGTGCAGGGAGAGAGACAGGGGAGTGCGTCCCTGTTGGTCCTCCTGGACCTCTCAGCGGCTTTCGATGCCATCGACCATGGTATCCTTCTGGATAGGCTAGCAGGATTGGGGGTCGGAGGCACTGCTTTGTGGTGGTTCCACTCCTATCTCAACAGCCGATTCCAGAAGGTGGTGCTGGGGGACTTTACCTCTGCACCATGGCAGCTATGCCATGGAGTACCACAGGGATCCTTTTTGTCCCCTTTGCTGTTTAACGTCTACATGAAACCGCTGGGAGGGGTCATCAGGAGGTGTGGGCTGTGGAATCATCAGTACTCAGCTCTACCTCTCGTTCTCCACCAATCCAGATGAGGCAGTGGCTGTGCTGAATCGGTGCCTGGCCGAGGTAATGGGCTGGATGAGGGCCAATAAACTGAAGCTCAATCCAGACAAGACAGAGGTCCTGCTGGTTGGTGAATTGGGCTTCGGTGAGGGTGAACTGAACCTAGTCCTGAATGGGGTTGCACTCCCTCTTAGGGACAAGGTCCGCAGCTTGGGAGTGCTCCTCGAACCAGAGCTTTCACTGGAAGCTCAGGTGACAGCAGTGGCGAGGAGCGCTTTCCTTCAGCTTTGGCTGATTCTTCAGCTGCACCCCTACCTGGAGTACGACTGCCTGGCGACAGTGACACACGCGCTGGTGACTTCCCGCCTTGACTTCTGTAATGTGCTCTACGTGGGGCTACCCTCGAAGACGGTCCGGATACTTCAATTGATGCAAAACAGAGCTTCCAGGCTGCTGATGGGGACTGGGCGTTATGTTCACATGACTCCAGTCCTCCGTCAGCTTCACTGGCTTCCCATTGAAGTCTGGGTCCAATTCAAGGTGTTGGTGATGACCTATAAAGCCCTTAATGGCTTGGGTCCTGGTTACCTGAAGGAGCGCTTACGTCCATATATGCCCGCCCACCCCTTGAGATCAGCGGGAGAGGCCCTTCTCTGGAAACCCTCCGTGAAGGAAATTAGGAGCACAAGTACTCGGAGGAGGGCTTTCTCTGCGGTGGCGCCCAATCTATGGAATGCGCTCCCCAGAGAGGTCCGCCTGGTGCCATCTTTATATGTTTTTCGGTGCAAGGTGAAGACCTTTTTATTTAAATGTTATTTTAATTGCTAATATTATTTATTTATTTTACATCTTTGGCCAGGACGCTTCCAATTATATTGTTTTTATATTGTTGTTATTTATTTATTGTTGTGAGCCGCCCCAAGACTTCGGCGAATGGGGCGGCATAGAAGCTTTCTAAATGAATGAATGAATTAATGAAAGCAAGAAACCACCAATCAGCAGTTGGGAAGTGCAGGATGGGAAGACGGCACAGCTGCCTGGGTACCCCAGAGGGCTATTTTGGGACCCAGGAAGGCCCAGGTTGATCCAGAGCATGTGGGTCAACAACCCCAACAGAAATAAGTGTATGGATATTCTTGGTGCATGGATTTGGATTGTTATTGGGGCCTGACTATGAACACTGCCATGATGGACTCCTGCATATCAAACTTCTAACTCCACACCACTGCCATTAACTCTCCCTTTTTAAAGAAATCTCACTTTTTTCCACCAGGGCAAGAGAGTGGCCTCCTTTCACTATCCCGGAGGAGGTGCCAATTACAGCGGCCAGGCAGTCAAGAGGACGTTGGTCGAGTCCTTCACTCACCCCGACAGCAATGAGACGGAATGGAGGGAGAACATTGACATCGTCCTGGGCTGGTTTGCCAAGGAAGACTTTGATTTCGTCACACTCTACTATGGGGAGCCTGACAACGTGGGGCACCGGTATGGCCCAGAGACTGAAGCCAGGAGAAAAATGGTCCAGCAGATTGACCGAACATTTGGCTACCTGGTGGAAGCCATTGAAAAGCATGGCTTGAAAGACACCCTCAACGTCATCATCACCTCTGACCACGGTATGACCACCGTCAAAAAGAGTCCAGCCGTGGAAGAGATCTTATTGGCCAAGTATATTAAATTCAAGGATGTAGTGAAGTTTGACATTCTAGACTATGGTGGCTTTGGCATGATACTTCCCAAGCCAGGAAAAGAAGAAGAAATCTATCAGGCCTTGAAAAATGTTCATCCTCATCTCAAGGTGTACAAAAAGCAGGAGTTTCCTGAACATTTCCATTATGCGAAGCATAAACGCATTCTGCCCCTCCTGCTTTATGGAGATTCTGGCTACAGCGTCAATGGGGTAAGTCAGCATGAAACCTAAAAGTCCGTTTCCTCCCCATGTCTTCGAAAGCACAATGAGTTGCGCATTATTAATGTATGTACATTGACTTTTCCTCACTACATTCTGAGCGGGGGATTTAAACATTTCAATACACAGGACATACCCCTCTGGCTGCAATCCTACATTTTCACCATTAGGACTGTACTATAACATTTCTGGCCACAGCTTTGGGAATCTTAGCACTTTAGAACCGCTGTAGGGTCATTAGGTGTTTACAAATGATCTGATGCCCTAAAGCAAGGGGCAATTTTATGCCTGCCAGATATTTTGGATGGTGACACTCATCAATCCGTCAGTGCAGCAACCACGGCCGATAGTCAAGGGTTGTGGAAGCCGCTGTCCACAACTTCTAGAGGATGCGAGAGGCACGCTCCTGTTGATTGTGCCTCCAGTGCTCGCAACCCCCCAGATCTGGTCTGTGCCTGCTTTGTGTTTTAGCCAGTTTCTGGTGTCACCTGAGACTCTTTGGAGAGGCTGAGGAGGCATCTGGAACACCACCAGGACGCATCGTCTCCTGGTGGCCCCGGCCTCCTCCTCACTCCCCCAAGTGCTCCCTCACCAAGGTCAATTTCTTAACCCTGAAGAGGCAGCTGGCTTGGTTCCTTTCATGCCGGCTGCAGCAGGGAGTGGGTGTGGGGGGGGCAGAGCGCAGGTTCCCAGCTCCAAGGACAGAGCTCTGTTTCCGACCTCAGCTCTAGGAACCTCAGTTGTCCAGTGGCCCCCCAGATAATCCCAGGGCCACAGGATCACTCCCGAGGTAGTCCACCCCTGCCCTAAAAGCACCATCCCTCAGATTCTGCCATGCAGAATCACAGAGTTAGAACCAGCCTTGCAGATGGTCCAGCCCATCCCGTTGCCCTGTTGGTTGCACAAAATCCTGAGCCCGGGCGTCTCCACCGGGTGTCCTCCCATCTCTTCCCAGTCTCATTGCATGAGAGCTCTGAAGTGCAGCCGAAGAGCTCTTCTGTGGAGGCCTCTTTGCCAAGGCTCTGCTTTCAGATTCCTTGCAGGAACAAAATCAGCTCCTTTCCACACATCTTTTTCTGATGGTTTTCTTCCTCTGCTTTTAAATGGGTTCATAAAGAGGCATTGCCGCATAGCGGAGTTGTGAAAACACACCACCGTTTGTAGCATTTTATGGTGTACTGGTCCTTTAATAGTTACGACCATTCTTAGAAATAAAAGCCTTGGAGGATAAGAGCATTGTGTGAAGGATTTGCAAACTAGCATGGTTGAGGACTTAGGAATGCACAATAAAGGCTTCATGAAGAGAAGCCCTTCGTACTAATTACTTATGTGTGTCGACTGTCAGTTTTTAAAGCAGATGGGAGTTTTGCTTAGACAGCAATAAGTGGACAATAGGCTTCTTAAAGGTCAGTAGACATGCCGAGGATCTGGAGGAGAGGTTTGTAGCATGTGAGAAATGGAGATGTAATGGATTTAAGTTATATCCTACATTTCCATCCTGTCCAATAGCTAACACTTTTGGGCAGTGCACCACAATTAAAATCATAAAATAGAACTCAATAAAAGACAATGTAAATGTGTAAAGCTATAGCATAGCATGTAAAAATGACAAAGGGATACCTAAATAGATCCTAGCAACAGTGCAAAGATTTAACGTACAGCCCCAGATTTAATACAGAAACTAGTGTGTGTGAGAAAGGAAAAGGGGCCTTACCTGGCACCAAAAGGAGTGCAGCATAGGTACCAGGTGAGCTCCCACCTCCATCCCCACATGACAATCATGTGAGAAAACAGTCCCCTCGACATGCCAGCAATTGCAGAAGGGAGAATTGAAGCTCTGTTTCCCCTGAAAGTCTACAAAGAAACCACCTTGCGCCTACAGCAGTCCTTGATTGCACAGGGGGGAGTGGGAACCTATCCAGCTCCTGCACATGCAAATTACAACCATCACAGATGCACCCATTAACAAAGACACACGTATATGCTCTCTTTGATGTTGATTTCCAACAGGCACAGACTTCACCTGTGTCAAAAGCAAAACGTGCATTATAACAGACACAGAATTACAACAGAAACAAGCACGCTTTGCCAAAAGCAAAATACACATCATAACACCCCGGGCCACCACAGGTGCTATTGACTACACGTCGCATCGTCACAGGCATGAGTTCTTATTGTCTTCTCAGGGCATACGCATGGTTACTTTCCCACCAGGCCTAGTTGACTAGGCCTGAGCATATTCAAGGCCTGAGCATATTCTCCTTCTGCAATGGCTACTCTTGACATTTCATATCCCCCATAGCAGGGCTGGAACTGATCCAAGGGGAGCTGCAGCAATTGTATAATACGACTTTTTAATGATCAGTTTTGCATGATGATCTTTTCTTATGAATGTGCCCCCTGTGGCCAACTATAATGCAGGCATTCATGTGCTGGAGGTTCAGTAAACACCATCTGCAAAACAGGAAAGTGCAGCTCTTGGCACATGCATCCAATAGAAATGAATGCTTTGCCAAGCAAAGTGCAACTTTCTGTTGGCCGCATCGAAGCTTGCATGGGTATAAAGCCTGAAAGGTCATCTCCGTGTTCAGTTATGGGTGCCTGGTTACATCCAGATGAAGTTCAGTGCAAGGTCCTTGAATGGTCTGGGACCATCTTCTCTGCACCTGGATGAGCCTACTCAGGTCCTAGGATGGCCACAGGAACTGCCACCAGCCCTTGTCACAGATCAGCAAGTCCCAGAGACATGACAGCAGTGCCTTCACATCCATGACAGCCTCTTCAGAGGGCCTCTTCAGCATCACAGGAACCCTGGAAAACTTTTGGTTTGCGTTGTTCAACAATGCATGCCAGTTGTCAGCAGCTAATGGTTTGGGGTATCTTCAAAATCACATGTAAAATGGCTTAGTTGTTCTTCCCTTAAAATTTTAAGTGACTTCAGCAGGACTTGCCCACCCCAGAAAGCAGGGCATTGGTGGGGAGGGTAGAGATAATTCAGTAGCGGTTGCAGTATTCAAAAAGCGCATGTGGTACAGCCCTCCTTGGCTGTGTCAGTCCCAGGTCTGAGAGCCTCCAGGCAAAACGGTCCCAGCTGACCACCTCTCGCAGGCCTAGAGTGCGGGTCCCTTGCTCATTATAGCTACCACTTGCTTGCTTGATGGGCAGGAGCCAGTGGGCCGGTGAGCAACGGTATCTCCTGCACCCGTCTTTCCACCACTCTTGTCGGAATGAGAGTGAGCTGCAGGTGAACAGGCAGGCTGCAGCTCCAGGGGTCCCTCCAGCCAGCCCATGGGGGTCCTTGGGGCACGCCTGGCCATGCCTGCCCTCGCTGCCAGCCCTGCTCTCCGTCCAGCTGAGAGGGGCAAGAGAGTGGCACAGTGCCACCAAAACGTCTCCCTGCCCATGCAGAGCGAGCATGTCCAGGACAAGGCTTGGTCAGAGCCGGTTCAGGTGTGGAAGACAGAGCGCTAGAGTGTACGATTGCCACACTGTGAAATGATGTCACGGGAGCAGGCCAGTGCCGTGCACACCTGTCGAGCACCCAGAAGCCCAGCTTCTGGATTCATGAAGCGGCTCAAAACACCGCCTTACACATCACATGGTTGAGGTCTATATCCGCACTTTCGAGTGAAAGGCTAGACATGGGAATCACCGGTGATCTTGTTTGCAGCTTTCATGAGGTGCAACAGTGACATACAGTGGCCAAAACATCAAGTCTGGAGACTTTCTGCCATCAGTGAAAGGCAAGAGGTTCCACGATCAGTCCCCTGTAGGAATGCTTTCTGCATCACATCTGTTTTCCCTTCTTCCAACAAATCGCATCCCCGACCAACCCGAGGGAACCAATTTTGTAGTGAGTATCCCAAGCAGCCTTGCAACTCAAACATTCTCTCGTTCTGAAATACACGCCAGCTGCCCCAACACCGCAAGTGTGGCCCTACTGTGGGGCAAGGTAGACTGCAAATCTGATGTGATGGACAACTCTGGCAAGAGAATATCATATCTGGCTTTAGGGGTTAGATCCAGATATAGAAAGCAATGGAGCAAGGTATTCATGACTGACATAAGCCAACAGCTCTCAGCAGTCCTGCTCTAAGCACAACTAAATCTAAAACTATATCTAGTTCAACCCATAAACTAAAAACACAACATTAGCCTATAGCAGTTTTCCCCAAGCTGGGACCACAGCTTGGGACCAACATTCCCAACCATTGCCTATGCTGACTGAGGCTCACAGGATCGAAGGCCAAACTGTCTGCTGTCTGCTGTCACGTCAGTCCCCCAGAGCAGCAAAGGAGGCAGTCACTTTGCAGGGTGGCAATCATTTTAAATTTCACACAATGAAAAGAAGTGCCTCAGAATGGGGCTTTCTGGGGAAAAACAAAATGGCAGCCATTCAGATGCTCTCCTCCTCTGAAGAGCAGTTCACTTCAGCCCCAGAATGGAGCCACAAGGAAAATGCCAGCTCTGCGGTGGGTAAAACAGGCGAGAACTGGCTGCTGAGAAGGGACTCCAGGCCCAGTTTGGACCCGCAGCACAGCTTGTGGAAATGAATTCCGTAATTTAGGTGCAATCTTTTGCATGCTAGGACATTTAAAAAGTCCTACAACATCTAGCAGACTCCAGCAAGCATAAGATCGCACCCTGGATTATATGTTGTTTAATTATGCACACAGATGAAATCGCCGAGCAGGTCTCTCCCCACAAAAATGAACAATGTTTCCATAGGTAAAGCACCACGCAGGTCTCATTCCTTTTTCTTCTCTTAATGTACTGTTTCAGAGGTTTATCCTCTATGTTAACAAAGGTGACCATGGATTCGACAACCAAGGCATGGATATGAAGACCATCTTTATCGCTTTCGGCCCAGCTTTCAAGAAGGGATACACTGCAGAGCCCTTTGATAGCATCCACATCTATCCACTGATGTGTGAGCTGCTGGGAGTCCAACCAGAACCCCACAATGGCTCTCTGGCATTTACTCGAGACATGCTCGTTCCCACAAAGAGCTTCCTCATTCCATTCATTGTCATTTGCATCATGGGAGCCTTACTTGTTCTGCTACCCATCGTGGCTGTGGCCTGCAGGCTCAGTCACAGGAAGAAGAGGTAAGCCGTGGCTGCTTGCTTGCTTCCTCGGGCAGGGGGTGGGCATGCAATGGGAAGGGGAGAGGAACTGGCAGGCACGTGCCCTCCGCGGACCTGGCCAGCACCAGAACGCTGTCTGCACCGGGTCCTTGCGGACGGGGCACAGCTCCCGGGCACGGCACGCAGCTCGCATGCAGAAGGCCCCATGTGCAGCATGTCAGCGCGAAGCGGTGCTGGGCAGCAAGCCTGCGAAAGCCCTTTGCCCGAGACTTTGACGCCCCGCGTTCTGGGCTCAAGCTTAGTCAGCTTTGCACGTGGTGGGCATGTCGTGAGTGGAGCCGGCTGGAGCCAGGGGTCAGGCCCGGGAGACCCCTTCTGACTCGCTCTGTTTCTATGTATGTGTTGCATTCAGGCAGAGCTCAGTGTCAGAGGAGTTGCACTTTGAGCATGGTGAAGTGCCCCGTCGGGTCCCTGGCACCAATTAAAAGGCTCTTGGGGAGCTGCAGAGCTCTGCAAGACCCTTGTGGGAGGTGCTGGGCAGCCACTACCTGCCCGAGGAGAAATCCAGGGCTTGATGGCCCAGTGAGCCCTCTCAGCATCAGGCAGTTTTCATGTGCTCCTAAGCAAGCTGGGATCTGGCATGTGTAAGACGGGCCGTGCGTTGGATCCAGGTGCCGAAAAGGCCCGCTCAGGCAAGGCCCGCACAATAACGGGTGGCAGAGAATGGGTGGGCAAACCCGACAGAATTTGAGGCAGATGCGCTTGGCAAACAGGCACGAGCAACAAAGGAACTGGGTGCGAAGGTCAGCCCTGAGAACAAAGAACACGCCCAGGAGTTCTCTGCAGGAGCCGCTGAAGAGCGCGGCAGCCTTCGTGGCCAGTTCCCCATTTGCTGGGGCAGAAGCAGGAGGAGAGCTGTTGTCCCAGCAGAGACCGAGAGGATTACAGTACCTTCTTCCTCCCTCCTGGTCTTCTTCTGGGCGCCAATGCACCCCAGGCGCTTCCCTGGCTGCTCCCTCCTCCTGCACAGAGTCATGACAGTGAGGTCTCCTGGCGGCCTGCACATCGACCCAGATCCAGTCATATCCCAGTCCTGGAGCGCACTTGGGGTGGCCGGGCCCACATTCCCTGGGTGAGGGTCCAGGCAATGCAAGGGCTCATCAGGCGGATTCAGGCCAGGGGCAGACGGTTCCCCAGGCTCCCAGGCGTGCCAAAGACCTCCCCAGAAATAAGCTCCCACAGGGTGCTGATCGGATGAGACCCCAGCAAGCAATCACTTCTTCCATCTCTTCCTATGCAAACCACCGAAAGGCTCTTGTAAGCGAAAGCCCTCGAGCTCGCATCCCCAGACAGCCTCTCCTGGGATTTACATGCAGATAAGCAATTGCAGCTTCCCTACATGAAAAGCATAACACAAAATCCCTTCCCCTAGAAAGCTAACCTAACAGGGTGGGCTTTAGCCTACCCCCCCCACACACACACACACACCCCAATGTTCCAGTTTCCTGCTTTTCTCCTGGTTAGTTGAGGGCAAATCATGGTAACTCTCTTCTCAAGAGGAAGGTCAGCAAATGGCAGGTTGCAGGCTGTTCATTGCAAATCCCATTTTATTCAGCCCTGTAAAAAATGTTCACATCTCCATAAATCACTTTCATACTCCAAAACATCAATAAAACACTCATTTCCCAGGCATAATTTAGTCATGTTTCACTCACACATTGATTATTCTGGAATGAAATATCAATGCAAGCATTATTAAACTTTATGAAAATGTATTAGTAAACAACAAGCATCTGGATGAAACTTTCTCATGAATTCATTCAGCCAGCAATCATGAGGGTCATCTTTACTTTTGGTTTCCTTATTTATTTTTGCCTAACATCTCTAAAGCACCTTCATTTTCTCTTCTAAATGACTGAGCCTTTAAGAAGGCATTCACACTGCAAATTATGAAGGAGTGAACCGGAGCCCTAAATGGGTACACTCCATAATCAATCAATCAATCAATCAATCAATCTCACACACACACACACACACACACACACACACGGGTTGGAGGGCTTATACAATTGCTGGAATGCAGCGATTCCCCCCAGTGACCTGGAGCTCAGGAATATGGTACCCTCACAGTTCAAGGCACTGAGCTCCTTTTTAAAAATCTGAGAACATGGCCTTTTCTATTTCTCTCCCAAAAAGAGGGACCGTAAAATGGTACTTACATCCACACTACCCGAGAGGCTGAAATGTGGCATTATAGCTCATCCAAGGCACCCTGGTGCCAGTGGTGCAGCTCAGAACAGCCCTCAGAGCTGACGCCCGGTGCCCCGCAGGCTGCGGGCTCCGAAGGGCCGCCAAGGAAGCAGCGATGTCAGCACCAAGCCCATCCCACCCAAGAGGTTGCGCTGGCCCTCGTGGCATCAGCCTTGTTCTTCTGCACGAGCCCTTCTCTGGCCACAGCTGTCCGCTGGTTCTCAAATGAGGTCATAACCCTGTAGTTGCACTCCTGGCGAGGTGCTGCTGCTCTTCCGTTCAGAGGAGGGTAGTACCGAGGTGCTGGAGTTGCTGTGAGGAGAAAATGGAGAGGAGAACTTTGTATGCCACCCCGTGTTCCTTGTAAGAAGAAAAGTGGGGAATAAATGCAATGCAGTAATAATGAAGCCAGCCCTCCCTAGACAAGTTTGGATTAAAAATGAAATCTAGTACTTTGTTTGGGATACCTCCTCTCTTCTGGACCAGGAGCAGAGTGAACTCCCATCTTGAGACCCCCTCAGGTATGTGCTGTCCTACAGCCACCATCGTCCACGGCCAGTACGGCCAGTGATGAATGTTGTGAACTGCAATCTAGCACATCTGGAGAGAACCAGGATGCAGTGGCGGTCATGTAACTATACAGAATCGTGGTTCTTTTCCCCCCTTTGCCTAGAAAAACATTTTCAGTTCCTAATTAACAGGGGGATAGCAGATGTTTTATTCAGCATATCATCTATCTCTGGATAAAAAGCATCGCAAAACGACCGTGACAATCTGTTAAAAACTGCGCAAACAGCAATGGAATGTACCCATTCAAGACAGATTTTCAAAGTTTGCTCCTGTGTGGCGCTTCGTTGTTGGGGCTTTTGCTGGTTTTGTGGACTGTGAAATGGGAAAACGGCGTCCTTTTCATAAACAGCTTTGCCGGAATGAATGATGCAAACTCTCTTTTGAAAAAAGAAAACTTTTTTGTCCACCGTCATGATACTTTTGGTCCAAGACAGTCGTCCATTAATGAGTAAGAACTTCGCAAACGAAGAGGAGCAATTGCTGTGGCAAGCCAAGAGCCGTCTCTGAGCAAGAAGAAAACGGCCCCTAAAGGCGGAATGACTTGCTCAGCCCCCCCCGCCCCCCACCCGTGCCAGGCGCGCGCGCGCGCGCGCACACACACACACACACACACACATACACGCACGGACTCCACACTTGGCCATGCAACGCCTGTTTAGTCCCAGGAGGTTCTACCAAGTATTCTGAGATGTTGCAGAAAGCTCACAGACATTGTTCGGCAGCCCCAGGTTTCTTCAGAGTGCTGCTTCTGAGGTCCCACGACTTTGGAGCCCCCCGCCTTGCAATGGGGCAAAAAGGGCTGCATCAGCCTCCCCAATCCCAAGGTGGCCGGGGTGCCTTGGAGGGGGAAAGGGCGCGTGCTGAGGGGCAGGCAGGGAGGGGCGGAGGCTGGGCCACAGAGCTACGCCTATTCCAGTGGGCACCCCCATCTCCCCCTCACCCCATTCCCTGGCGCTAAACTTCGACGGCTGCAAACAGCCATCTGGGAAAATTTCAGGGCATGAGGTGTAGCGGCAGCAATTGGTGCTGCCGCGACTCTTCCCTCACACCAGAGGCTCATTAGCCTCGCTAATTAGTTCAGGGGCTCGCAAGCAGCTGCCACAGCAGCAACAAAACTGCCCCCTGAAAGGATTTCGTTCACCCCTCAAGCCCTGCAGAAAAGCTACAATGAATCACGTGTTTTTCGTACATGCTTTGCGGCATTGCAAGCTCGTGTTGCTACAACCGTCAAAAGACAGCCCCCTCTTTAAAGGGGCTTAAGTTGCCCATCGACCGTCAGCACCAGCAAACATAAAGCGTCCCTGGTCACCGTTTTCCATGCTATGATGAGATGCCTTCTGTTCCTATTGAAATTAATAGGAATTATTCCTAAATTGCCTCTACACAGTAAAATTCTCATAGGCATTTTTCCAGATGCAAAGCTGTGCTCTCTCTTAGCCTGTTTTCTGCCATTTCTGCTCTTTTGCTGATGCCTAAATGCCCGCTCGGGGGGGACCAGCTCCCGATTTGGAGCAAGCGTAGAATAGTGAAGCTACCAACCAGTAGGCCGTCTGACTTGTTTACAACTACAACACCCATCATCTCTGGTCACTGGCCATGCTGGCAGTGGCTGAGACAAACTGTGGCCGAAACCCTCCGAAGGACACCAGGGCAAAGAATGTGGCAACGAATTAATCACCCTTAGTCAGACATCCTATTCGCATGTCCAAAAATAAGTCAAATTTGAGACCAAATTTGTCAAGTCAGCCCTGCCTGCAAATTCTGAAACAGTTACGGCAGTCGCCACCCGGCCTCTTTCAAAAGGCTGCCCCAGAATCGCAGCGGGAAAGGAGATCAGGGAACGGGCAGAGGAGGCCGTGAGGAAGGGAGCCGATGCGCCCTCGGTCAGCTGCCGCCTCTCCACGAGGTCAAGTTGTGAGACACATTTCATTTCACGCATGGGGCAGCCCACAGCTGAAGGGGGGCGGGGGGCTTCCCGGAGTGGCCGTGCTGGTGGATCCAGGCGAAGTTGTATAGCAGGGATTCCCAGCCTCTTCACATCTGCGGGCACATCTGGAATTTGAGGCACTGCTGTGGACACCACCACAAAATGGTGGATCTGGCTAGCCATACATGGCGGTTAAGAGGTCAAATGCGAGCTGGAGAGGAGGGGCAGCGATAGGGAACTTGGAGGCTAGGAGGGAAGGGAAACCAAGAGAGCAGAGCAGCTCGATGCTAGAAAGGGAGGGGGGAAAGATGGCTCTCGCATTGTCTAAGGACCTCCAGGAGAATCATGCTGACGCTTTTGATGCTCCTGTTTTACATCGCCTTAAAACTGGAGGATATTCTTAGTTTTTAATCCCACGATTTGCATAGCAGATTTCCTCACACTTTCGCACACGCAAAACTTGGAATAGTGAATATTAAACTCTATCTGAATCTATGATACCCTCTAAATCAGATCTGCTTTGTCTTTGTTTTCACGCTTCCAGCCCTTGTGAACAAAAGGATGAATGTTCTGAAGCAGTGGAAACGCCTGTGGAACTGGCAACCAACTTCTGAAGACTCGTTTTCCTGATCAAAGGAGGCCATCTGGATCAAAGGAGGCCATCTGGCAAAATCCAGAAGCCCTATCCCTTGATCACCCTCCCCCCCCCCGCATTTTTACCAAACAATATCAGCCAGTGTGGTGTAGTGGTTAAGAGCGAGGGACTGGGACTCAGGCAATCTGGGTTCTAGTCCCCGCTCGGCCATGGAGCCAACTGGGTGACTTTGGGCCAGTCACAGACTCTCAGCCCAACCCACCTCACAGGGTTGTTGTTGTTGTGGGGATAAGATGGAGGAGGAGATGTAAGCTGCCTTGAGTCCTTTGTAGGAAAAAGGCAGGATATAAATCGGAAAATAAATAAATATCTCGCCTGTAGCTATTGAGCTATGGAGGCCATCACAAAAGGGTAAAAAAGTAGGGAGTCTGTCTCCACTCCCTTGTAAACTGAAAACTGGAACACAGATGGGAAATGTTGCACATCATTTTCTGAAAGAATAGCCCTGCTTCTTGTCACACACAAGCTGGAATGAACCTGAGCAAGCTTCAAGCTCAAGCCGCCAGTTTCAAAACAAGCCCACTTCAAACTGCCTTTTAAAGTCATCATCATTTGTTATAAACCATAATCTCTGGTTTATACACAACATTAAGCCAAGATTCTATGGAAAGTCAGCTAAGGACCACAGAAGTCCTCCATGCAGGAGGAGAAAAGTCTGGTTTGCTTAGATTTATCATAGCATATGCACAAAGCACAAAAGCGTGATTTAGTACCTATCATGTGCAAGCCAGACCAAATGAGAGGAGTGGCCTAGGGACTCCTAAGGGAGGACAAGGAAACAGGTTTCTCTTCACCCTCCGTGTGCGCGCGCGTGCGTGAATGTTTCACATATGCAAACTCTTTGGAGCAGACGTGGTCCATAGGAACGTGTCCATCTCAGGAGTGCATACAATCCTGAGAGCATTTGCTACAGAACAGTCTATAAAAACTTTATTTTTTTAAAAAAAATCCTCAAATCGTTTTGCAGGTGTACACATAGAAACCACTTACTTGTTCACAACACCCTTACAGCGTAATACGTTTACGCAGGGGTAACTTCCACCATGTCCACGAGTCTTTCCTCCAGTTTTTTGTAGGAATGCTGCTGCTTTTTTTTAACATACCCAAGATCGCTGCTGCATTTCCCCACCAGTATTCCCAAAGACCTATGGAACGCACTCCCGTCTGCTTGATGGTTCACATCTCCCCTTCATGGCCTGAAAGGAGCCTGTTCCATGCCTTTTTACATAGACTGGAAGTAGTATTTTCCCAACCCTAACCCTAAGCTGTGACTCAACCATTACATTAATTGGCCAGGTTATACCCATGGATTTTGAAAGCTCTATGAAATGCACTGCATTCAGTTTTGTATTTTCCATTTCTCCTTTCTGGCTTGAAAAGAGATTTTTCCAGACCTTTTCCCAACAGAATATAAAAATTTCCCAGACAAATCTGATATTGAGACTAAAGCCTGGTCTTGCCACCCCTTCGCTTCTTCATGAATTTCGGCAGTTGTTTAAACAACACACCATTTACCTTTATAGGACAAATTTCCAGATTCTGCAGATGTGAAAATGCCACTGAAGATGTGGCACTTAAGCTTGAGGGCTGGATTCCCTGGCAAAGCCACGGTCTGCACTGAATCCACTTTCCAGTCAAAGTCAGTGAAGGCCCTCAGAACCACACATGAACAGTTCAAAATATTGATTTTATTAAAAACTTTTCTATCCCATCACCTACAGGACATATCGGGACGGCTTACATACACCTCAACAACTACACTAAGTCAAAGGGCAGGCTGTGGAGATGAACAAATCCATCCATTGTGCTTTCTGTGCCACTAAGGCAATGAAGAAGTACAAGCGGCTAATACCTAGACTCCTAGAGTTGGAAGGGGCCATGAAGGCCATCGAGTCCAGCCCCCTGCTGTTGCAGGACACCAGCATCAAGATCTTCTCCAGTGAGTCCTTCCTTCTCATGAGGTGGCCAAAGTATTTGAGTTTTATCTTCAGGATCTGGCCTTCTAAAGAGCAGTCAGGGTTGATCTCCTCTAGGACTGACCGATTTGATCAGTGCCCCCAGATTGCTCTCACCTTAATAAACTATGGGACAAAGCAGCTGTATTTGTGAAAGATCCTAGACTGAGAACTGATCGCAGCTGCTCAGCCAGGCAAGAAATGCCCTCTGCACATGCTCAAGCACACTCTTGTCTTTATTTCCGCTACCCCACACCACGCCTGCCGCATTCCAGGAAAGTGCTTAAGAGGCCGTAGCAGGGCCCCTGCACACCCTGGCAGAGGAATGGGGACAAAGCCTCACTCGGAGGTCCCGTGAGGGAAGGGGTTCTGGAATTGTTCCTGGGCAGATCCGGCTCAGCACAGAGCCACTGCCTGGGACCCTGGTTCAGTCCCGGCGTTTGGCTTTTCCCAGTCGGGCCGGGAGCAATCCCTGCATCTGCGGACAAGCCTGGGATGCGACCACTGCGCTTTTGCCTGCCCGTCAAGGGCCCCCGGGCTGCTCGCGCGCTCCCCTCTGGGTCAACCTCGCGGGATCCCGTGCACGGAGCAGGCCGAGAGGCAGCGAGAGGAGCGATCCCGCGCACTGGGCGAGCCGCACGGCAGTCCAACGCGTCCGGGCCAGGCCGGCCTCCGGAACTCCCGCGCCTCGCGGGTCTCCCCGAAAACCGCCTCCGGCGCTGAGCTCGCTGCATCCAGCCGGCGCCCCCAGCGGCGGTGCGCGACTACAGCGCCAATCACCCGCGCAAGGAGGGGGCGGCGGGACGGCGCCGGAGGCCGAAGCTCCCGGGCCCGGCAGGCGAGGGTAACCGGCGACCGGCGGCGCGTCTCCGCCTCCCCGCGCGCAGCGGAAGGGCGGGCGGCGCGGAGGCGAGGGCGGCGCGGAGGCGGAGCCGCGATGGAGGCGCCGCCACGTGTCGGGGCCGAGGACGGGGAGGCCCCGGAAGGGCACCTGGCCCGCCGCTTCCAGCAGGGCTTCCTGGCCGGGGCGCGCCTGGCCGAGTTCCCCTGGGAGGTGAGCGCGCGCGGCCGCGGCGGGGGGTGGGGGGGGCGGGCCGGGGAGAGGATTTAGGGGGCTCCCGTTTCGGCGCGTCTCCAGCCGGGGCCCGCCCGGATGGCTTGCACCACGCGCCCCATCATCCTGCGCCAGCGCCGACCTTGCGGGGCTGGTGGAAGTATAACTCGGCGGGGTGAACGGGACATGAATAATTTGCCCCATCGGTTTCAGTAGGGCTGCCCCACGAACGAAAATTGTTTCCAAGTCCTCTTGTTGCGTTTTCCTCCACATGCCGCTTCGAAAAAGTGTGCTCAAGTGTGCGTTTGTAGCAGGAAATGATATAAAAATAGGCGGTATATAAAAGTCAAAATGAATCAAATTAAATGAAAAAAACGTCAAACGTAAAAAGATGAAGAGGGCACCTGCATTACATCCGTAGTTTTTGCGGTTGCTTCCATACATGCCAGTCCGCATCACCTAGCCGTGCTTCGAAGACCCTGACTATTTTAGACAACCCCAGCTCTGTCCTGCTGCTCACCCTGCTGCTTGTGATGGGCCCCAGGGAGGGAAAGACTCTTGCGTTCTGACATTACTTTTTTCAGTCCCTGCTTTCTGCCCTCCTTGGGAACCAGGGGCTGCCTTGCTAATGCCAGTGTGGAGTTGTGTCCAGAGTGCAGAGTGTTGGGCTGGAGCTAGAGAGCCAGGCTGTAGTCCTCGCTCCGCCAGGAGGCTCACGGGCTGCCTCTGAGCTGGGCACAACACTCTCAGCATGTCCTACCTCACAGGGCTGGGTTGTTGTGAGGCAAAAACAGGAGGACTAGGTCAGCGTGCCTGGGTCTCTTTCAAGAGGGGACGCTGGGAAGGCAACAGCTAACCGGCAGACTTCCTTAATTTTTGTACCCCAGATGTAATAGGAGAAGACTCCCTCCACCAGCCCATCGCTTTGGCACACGCCCCAGCCTCAAGATGTTCGTTCTCACTTTTCCTTTGGATGCAGCCTTGTTCCTCAGATCATCTGTCTCCTGAGCCTGCTTCCAGAGGCCAGCGAGCTGCCTCAGGAACCCCGCAGGTGCAGCATGAAGGCCACAGCCCTGCCCGGCTCTTTCTCGTAGGAACAGTAACTCAGCAGCGTGATGGGCTCAAGTTAGCAGGAGGCCAGATGCAGGCTAGACATCAGGAAGAACTTGCTGGCACTTAAAACAGTACGACAACAGAGGTTGTGGGCTATTCCGCACTGGGAGCATTCAAGAGGCAGCTGGGCAGCCCGCTGTCAGGGACCCTTTGGCTTGGACTCAGCGGCTTTACAGGCCCCTCCCAATTCTACTATTCTAGGATAACGTCACAGCACAGCCATCCCCGACCTCCCTCCAGATGTTGCATCGTTAGCTCCAGGCAGATGGTCACCATCCAGAATGATGCAAACTGTCAAAACATCTGGAGGGCGCCAGCTGGCATGTAGCCGCCATGACTGCTGCTTGCATGGATTTACCTTTGCGTGCCACCAGAGGTGACTCCTGGTGTGTGTGCGTGGCAGGTGGGGGGGCCCTGTTCCTTCTTTCCATCTTGACTGGATTTTCAGTGGGAGTGACAATTTGCCAAAAAAGGTGGGGGGGAAGGAAGGAGGGTTGCAGGAGTCAGACTCCGCCTGCAGACTGCCACCAAATTGCATGAATGAGGCTGGGCGCTGGCATAAGCCCTTCCTTGCACTGGGCCTCTACCGTGCCTTGTGACAGCCAGTTCCACAGTTTGCATGTTCTCGGAGAAGAGAGGGAGGGGTGCAACAGCAGCTCCCGTCTCTGTCTTTTCTCAGCCTTCTCCAACCTGGAGATGTCTTCCGATGTGTTGGATCGCAGTGCCCTGGGAAGTGCAAGGCGCGGGATTCCAATACATTCAAGAGCACCAGGTTGGGACAGAGGCACAGGAGCAGCTAAGCTGTCCCCTACACTGGATCCACACTGTGATCCACACTGGACCAGTTTCCTTCCAGCTGCCTTACAGTGGGGGAGTTGAATCTCTCTCAGCTCAAGGGCCAAATCCCCCCCTGGAGGTCCCCTTGCAGCTCATCCTGGTAGGGGTTGGAACAAAAGAGGTGGGATCAAAATACCTGCATATTCCAGACTGCATCCCCTGCTGCCAGTAACAAAAGCCTTATGAGAGGCATCCAGGCCCTTTGCAGTAGGGAAGAACACTGTGCTGGACCTGGGAGGGGGGCAGGCTGATTCCTTAGATGGCTTGGTTTTTATTGGGAATGAAAAGGCAGTTGCCCTGGATGCGCATTTCAAGGTCATGGAGATGCAGACTTTGCATGGGGAGGGTGGCCCTGGGAAATGGCCTCCAGACATCCAGATGGGGAAGAGAAGGGGCTTATCTCAAGGCTGCCCCCTCCAAGTGTTCTGAGAATAGGCAGATTTAACAACTGCTGAGAGCAGAACAAAGCTGGGAGAACAAGTGGTTCACCTCTGGGTCACACCTGTTTTGGCCCAGAATCTGGTGAAGGAGAATGGGACTCTCCCTCCATTCCGCCTTCCGAGACAGCAGCTCTTCAGTTATGCAAAAATAATGTTTTCACCCCGGCTTACATTAATATCCCAGCATTATCCTAAGGTAACTCGGGCATGACCTTTCCTGGCAACTCTCCCAGGGCTAGCACATTTTGCAAGATACACTGCCTAATCCTCTTCTACAGTAGAGGCTTAAAATGGAAAAGCTATCCTTAATCCGTAATTAGGCCATCTACCCAAGGGCTCAATTAACCCAGCGGTGAACTTGAGGTAGTTTTGCTGGAGATGGACTGAACAGAAAGTTTGGCAAATTCAGCAAAGGCTAAGCAAGTTGTCAGCAAAAATGCTGTTTCCCCCATTAGAGCATCCTGCTCACGGGGAGGGAGACCGGCAGAGAGTGGCAGGTTTGCACATTTGATGGAGCTACAGATGTGCTGGCGCAGGACCCGCTGCCCCACCATTCTTGCTTTTCTGACATACATACCCCAGAAGCTTTTGGGTCTTGTAATCTCTTGCAAGTATTTACCCAACATAAATTTATTGGCCTCCCCTATTGGTGGTCTTCTCTGCTAAACTACCGTTGTAATAGAGAAACAAACCATACACTAATATGTATTTGCATGCAGAGTTAGAATCAATTAGATGTTGACCAAGGCATTCCAACAGAAGCCTTTGTGCTGATGTGCTGTGACTTTTCCCAGCAGCAGCTGCTTTAGGTAAGACATGCCCTCCCCCCGTGGGGGGTGGCAGCTGCTGACACAGCAATAGTACATGCTCAGTTATGATGCAACATTGTGAGGAACAAACGGTAAACCTGTGGAAGAGAAGCGGACGTTGTCCTCTTTTGAATGAGGTCTGCCCCAAACCATCTGACGAGAGAACAAAATGAATGTATTACCATATATCATAGCTGGAAATTTCAAGAAAGTGCTATTACATCATTAAGAATTCCTGCTCTAAATTTCTGTTTAGAGAAGGATCGTATAAGAGCCAAAACAGAAACTTTCTTTGACTGCTCTGATTTGCTCAGAAAAGTTACTAAGCAAGATACTTTACTACTGCTCCTCAAACTAAATGTATACTGCTTTTAAAATGTTTGTCACAGTAAAGTATTTTGTATGGTGTCTGTGCTCTTGCATCCTGGAAGGCAGAAACTACTGAAGATGTTAAAATAAAACATGGAAAGACACCCTTAACATTAGAGTCTTCTATTTAAATAAAAGCAGGCCTTTTATAAATGTTCAGTTCCTTGGTGATATTTTGCTCCTGGAATAAGGCCTCAGATGTTTTACTTGATCCAGGATCAAACTAAATACAAAAATCCCCTATTGTAATAACCCTTGACCAGGACAAATCTGACAAATTTTGTATGGAAAAACTGTATGAAGAACACATGGATGAAAAATCAGGTCAGAAATTCTCATGGTATATTGCAGTGGAATTGGAAACCTACATTAGCTGTGGGTTCTTTTTCTCTGCCCAGAACATCCTCTCCAAAAGGATGGAGAAAATAGAATCGGCCTTCACAGAATTTTAGGCACGCCATTGATAATATGCTGCATCGTCAAGACAAAGAAGAAAATGGCTGACTAGGGCAGCCGTAAAAGTCACATTGCTTTTAGGCGAGGGAGTGCTTCTTCTTGATGTGATGCTCAAGGCATGTACAGAATTTGCTGTTACCCTTCCAGCTGTGTTTTGCAGATTACCAGGTGTCTTTTGTGCCACCATTTCTCACCAATAGAATTGAAGTCTGAACATGGGGCACTTACACAGTGGGTTTCTCGGACATCTCTATTGCCCACAGGCCAAAGCAATCCCCATCCCCTGAATTGGCGGTTCCCCTTGCCATTGATTATTTATGTGACCTGTTTTCTAGGATCTTGAAGAGTTTTTAAAGAATTCAAAGGATTCTTCAGCCCTGCTAACTATTTTGCAGAAGGTAAATATCTCAATCACTCTGAGCTACTTCATTCTCAATCTAGAACCCAGATTCTGTGAAGGAACCAAAGCCATAATTCTACTGAGGGAGGATTGGTGCCCTGTTGCAGCGTCCTTTCTGGGTTTCCCAGCTAAAGAGGTTTCTCTCAGATTTTTTTGCTCCTCTTTACTGGTGTAGACAAACCACATCTTCTTCTCATTTTAGCAAATTCTGTTAACTGGCTTTCAGGCCTGACAGCTTGTTTCATCCTTAAATTCTGCAAGATAAACTGCCACTTTTCTAGCATCTTTTTAACTTGCTGTTGCAAACATAGCACATACTGCTTTCCCTGTAACTTAGTTTGGTTTAGGATTTGCTTATCTTAAAAAAAAAATCTAATGGTTCTCTTGGTTTCTAGTAAGTATGCCATTGTTCCATGAGGTTGACATCTGGTCTTGTTTTGATGGTTTCAGACTGTTCTTCACTCACTGTCCTTGAAGTATCCACCTTCAGTCAAGTACCGAAGATGCTTCTTATCTGAGCTCATTAAAAAGGTGATATTGGGTTTACCCAGATGATGTCTGAGAGTTCCAGCATCCATGTTCTAGTTACCTCCAGATCAGACTACTGCAGTGTGCTCTTCGTGGGACCGCCCTTGAGAACAGTGTGGAACAGTTGCTTGATGACTGGTATAAAGCTGTCAGTCAGACTAAAGCATGCAGATTTTATACTAGTTTCAGTTTTCCACTAGTTTCTGGGCTCCATTTAAGGTGCTGGTTTGAGGCTGTCAAACCCCAACAACCTGGGAACACCCCCAGGAACTGCCACCAAACACTTTCTCTTCGTTTACGGCCGTGCCTCAGGTCCGTCTCCTAGCCAAAGTGGGGCAGCCTTAGCCATCTTCACTCGCTGAAAGAGGAACTGCTGTGACTGTTCTGATCCAGCAAGCTTTTCTGGAACGCCATTCTTGCTGTTCCATTATTAGTATTAATATTGCATTCTCTGCTGTATAGTGAAAAATTGGACATCCTTGCCAATCTGCTATATAACATTCTATAATTACTGCTAAACCAGCTTCTGGCTGCCCTGCTTTCACAGGCACCGTGCAAAATGCAGTAGTGCTTTATTGTTTGTTTGTTTGTTTGTTTGTTTAATTTCTAACCCACCCCATTGCCTATATGGCTCCCTGGGTGGGTTACAGCAACAAAATACAAAATAAACTATAAAATAGAATAACATACAGATTAAAATAAAATATAAAACAACAATTACAAATAAAAAACATTAAAACCAACATAAGATGCTCAACACTAATAACATACCCTTACTTAAAATGCTACTTAAAACAAGTTAACAATTAAAATACCGTCAAAAAGTTTTTTCCTGTCACCTAAAAGAATGTAAAGGCAGTGCCAAGCAGAACTCTCTGGGGAGCTCATTCCAGAGTCGGGGTGCCTCTGTAGAAAAGGCCCTTCATGTTACCACCCCCCTTATTTCTTGAGGGGGGTTCCCTCAGAAGGGCCTCAGATGCAGATCTAAGGTGTGGGGTAGGCTTACATGGGAAGAGGTGCGCCTTTAGATACCCTGGCCCCAAGCCATTTAGGGCTTTAAACACCGGTGTTAACCCCTTGAATGGGGAGCCAGTGGAGATGGTCAAGGACTGGCATTTCATGGGCATCTCTGCCAGCCCTCGTTAACAATTTGGCTGCCCTGTTCTGGACCAATTGACATTTCTGGACTGTCACATAGCAGTAATCCAGACAAGAGGCCACCAGTGCATGGATAGCTGTTGCCAGGCCCTGTCTGTCCACATATGGTTGCAGCTGGTGTATCAGCTTAAGCTGACAGAAGGCGCTCCTAGCCACCAAATCCACCTGGTGCTGCAGGGACAATTCAGGGTTCAGGAGCACCCCGAAACTGAACCCTGCCCTTTAGGGGGAGTGCAACCCCACCCAGGACAGGCAAGGACACCCATCTGAACAGTCGCACTCCCCACCAACAGTATCTCTGTCTTAGCTGGACTAAATTTATTTATTTATTTTTCTATTTATATCCTGCCTTTTCCTACAAAGGGCTCAAGGCAGCTTACATCATTCTCCTCCTCCATCTTATCCCCACAACAGCAACCCTGTGAGGTAGGTTGGGCTGAGAGTCTGTGACTGGCCCAAAGTCACCCAGTTGGCTCCATGGCCGAGTGGGGACTCGAACCCAGATCGCCTGAGTCCCAGTCCCAGCTCTTCACCACTGCACCACACTGGCTCTCAGGTTAGTAGCCCTCATTCAGTCCGTTATGGAGGCTCGGCCTTGATTCAGAACATTCACTGCCACACCTGCGTCTGAGGAGAAAAGAAAGGTAGAGCTGAGTGTCATCGGCATACAGATGACAACTCGCCCCACACCTTCTGCTGACCTCACCCAGTGGCTTCATGTGGATGTTTAGAAGCCTGGAGGCTAAAAACAGAGCCCTGCAGAACTCATCCCCATGGTCCAAACTGGCCTTTTTTGGATGGATCTGACTTGGTTTCCTAATTCCACAGCTGGCTACAGACCTCTGTTAGCCATCTGTGTGGTGTTCAGCAATCAGAAATTCACCCCACCTTTTTCTCTTTCCATACAGCACGAGTCCACAGCAGCTGAACCTCTCAACCAGCTTTACGAAGCACTCGGAGATGTCTTAAATACTGAAGAAACAACACATTGTTATAAAAGCTATTTATTGGTAATGATGATGATAATGATGTATCAAATGTGAACTACATACTCACCTTTTGTGTTCCAGAGTATACACCCATCTTCCCTGATTCAGAGGCATCTGTTAGAACTCATACCCCCATAGTCCTCTATGTGTTTATTTGGAAAGAATTGCTGCTTGATACGGTCTTGTACTCTTCTACTTGGCAATTATCCTTTCTGAAAGCAATAGGGCTTTCCCCAGAAATGCAGTGCAGAAATCTTAGTTTTCCTTGATTTTCCTGTGATGAGAGCTGAGAACAAAACTGCAAGAAAGACTTAAAATAGCTTTTCCCAGCCTTGTGCTTCCCAGTTGTTTGGTACTTCAACTCCCATGAGCCCCAGCTATTACCATGGCCAGTGGTCAGGAATATGATAGGCTACAGTCCCAAATAACTGGAGGCCCCTTCAAAAGACAAGGTGCCAGAAAAGGCTTCCAAGGCAGCTTAAATATAATCAGAGAAACAAGATATTCCCTGCTCACATCTAACAATTGAAAGAGACACAGCACACAAGGAAAAAGGAATGAGGAGGGCAGAGGAATAAATCTTTCAGCAGGGCTGGTGGGGGATGGCCCTGCTTCCCTGTCTCATACCTTGCAGTACAGCCTGCAGGAGTGGCTATATATAAACATGTCCCAAATTGGATGGAACTGGACATTCCTTGCAGAACTTTTGTTTCCAGAGAAGGTAATGAGAGGGTTTGCTGTAAGAGAAGCAAGTGCTGATAAGATAGCCTGCAACAGATGACCTTGAAAAGAATGGAGTCCCTGACTGAAAAAGGTATCAGCCTTGCCCCAATTTAGGGCATTATGTCTTCAGAGCATTCCGAGATACTTGGTTTCACATTTTGCTTCTGCACTGCTTCAAACCTGGCCAAGAGGCTGAAAGACACATTTCAAAATGAGTAAACCAAAAGGAACAGTCAAAACACCAATGCAATGGAGCAACGTCCCAAAGCTGCTTCAGTCTGCTTCTGACTGAAACTGCAAGAAAAGCCACATTGGTTTTTACTCGTTTCTCTACATCTGGGGTGAAAAAAAGATTCAAACTGGATTTCTAGCCAGTGTGGTCCTTTTTTCAAGCATGGTAAGCCAGTTTCTGGAAAGCTGCCTTGGCATTCCACTTACTAAGTCATTTTTAAAGGGCCATGTGTCAGTTCCTGAAGCCATTCCTCCCTGAGCAATCCTCTGGGCAAAAGGGTTCCCTTGTGGTGAAAGTGGTAGAGATGAATTATTTTGCCTGCCCTTGCATTTCCCAGTTGGTTCAATTCTTTGGTTGTAGCAGAGGGAGGAAGAGGACTTGCCGGAAGAGGGCTGACGAATATTGATGTGCGGTGGGAAATACTTGCAGCTGGGCAAGCTTTTCCTTGGGCTGACAAAGGTATTACCGCTTCTGTGGCTGCTGGGGCCTCCCGACAAGCCCTGCACCAGGTGGCATTAACACTGAAAACACGCGAAGTGGCTTGTACTGATGCATTTCTTGCAGCCCTCGGGAGATGCCGTTACCCTCTGCGAGAGCACGGCCATCATTTCCAGAGGAACCACGGGCCTCGTCACGTGGGATGCTGGTCTCTACCTGGCTGAATGGGCCCTGGAGAATCCTGTCATTTTCAGAAACAGGTGACCATTCCTCATTGCCTTTGTTCTCTGTTTTGGGTAAAGTGGAGAGCCAGCTATTCAACAGCAGATGGATAAACCAAATAAAAGAGATCACAGAGTTTCAAACAACAATCCTTAGAATTACTTTGAAGAAAAGAGTTAATAGGCAAATGTTACAAGTCTAGATAGATACACCCTAAATACTACATGAGCAGTAGCTTCCTAAAACAGCTAAGGTTTCTAGATACATTAACAACTGTCATAGGTTTAGCATTTTCCCAGTTCTAGAAGCTCTAACGTTTTCTTTCTTCTAAGACTGAGCTCTCTGTTTCTGCCTTAAGCATTTCTATCTTTAACCTAGTAATTTCCCCTCCCCAGCTCCAGCCGATCAGAAGCGTAGTTTCTTGTTCCCATTTGCCCTACATTTCTTTTCCTAAATTCTTCCCCTGCCCTTCCATTAAGATTTCTACAAACCACTTTTTTTCAACGTCTCCTACAACGTAGCATTTGACCTTTGTGTGTGCGCACACACACACCCACATAAGATTTAACCCCACAGTATTTTTTAAAACCCCTACAAAACAGAAGACCATTCAGAGCGTGCAAAAGATTCCAAGTTCAGTCCGCTGCTCCTCCAGTTAAATTGTTGTTGTTGCTAGTCACAAAGTCACATCCGACCCATCAAGACCCCATGGACAACATTCCTCCAGGCCTCCTGTCCTCCACCATCCCCCGGAGTCCACTCAAGCTCACGCCAACTGCTTCAGTGACTCCATCCAGCCACCTCATTCTCTGCCGTCCCCTTCCTCTTTTGTCCTCAGTTGTTCCCAGCATTAGGCTCTTCTCCAGAGAGTCCTTCTCATTAGGTGGCCAAAGTATTTGAGTTTCATCTTCAGGATCTGGCCTTCTAAAGAGCAGTCAGGGTTGATCTCCTCTAGGACTGATTGGTTTGATCGCCTTGCAGTCCAGTTCAATAGACCTTTCCTATTCCACCGCCCAGAGATCCCTGCAAAAGACTCTTGGAGAGCAATTCTGTGTCTAGAGAAGCCACAGTGAGCTAGACAGGCCATGAGTAAAGTCTTACGTTCCAACGTAAGCTGGATTGCTGCTTGAATCCAGGGGCCATAGAAGCAGATGTAAGCCAGAACAAAAGAGCAAGCAGCAGATGTGGGCGTGAACTGGCCACAGTTCTGCACTTACCTTTCTTCTGTTTCCAATTTTCTTTAGAAGTGTGTTGGAATTGGGAAGTGGGATGGGACTGACGGGAATCACCATTTGCAAAGCCTGCCATCCCAGGGCGTATATATTCAGCGATCACCACCAGTGTGTCCTTCAGCAGCTGTCGGAGAACATCCATTTGAACGGCTTCTTTGTGGAGTCCGAGTTTTTCCAGCAAGCACCAACAAGTGCCGAAACCCGGAAGGCAAAGCACACTGGACCACGGGGCCCGGGCATTGTCGTAGCCGAGCTTGATTGGCACCTGGTTACAAAGGAACAGCTTGCCAAACTGTGGGCTGAAGTGGTCATTGCTGCAGGTATGCCGCTCTGTTCTGAGCAGCGCAGAGGAATGCTTGATTCCCCCCTTGGTGGGGAGCCCCATCCCCGAAACAAGGCCGTGATTCTAGAACCCAGAGAAGAGCACTCTTCTGTTTATTTCTGACCCATTGTCAAATACATCATGATTCCTGGGTCTCTTGGAATCCTGCACTGGGCAGGGCTTGGCCTCCAAGTCCTGCCCCCTGGAGCTTGTGGTCCTCCAGGTATGTCGGCCTACAGCTCCCGTAATCTGTCATAATCTGGCTACTGCTGATAGGAGCGGTTTGCCAATGCCGGCCACAGGTTACCCAACCCTGCCCCAGAGGAAACCAAGTGCAAGGCAGCTGTGATTAAAGAGAACAGCAGGCATCCCTCTGAGCACCATTATAACAACTGAGGTGCGGAGGGATCGCAGCTGTTACCTGTTGCAGGGGGAGGTGGGGAGGGGACTCAGCAGTGCTGAGCATGCTCATGTCTCCCTCTGGATTCTCCCCCCACCCCCTTGTCTGCAGCCCTGTTGGCCCTTTCAGCCGAGTTTACGGTTTTTTGGGTTTGTGAAGATTTTGGTTTAGCACAGTGTCTTCCACCACGGCTGAAGCCATTTCAAGCCACCTGGCAATGGCACAACGTTTTATATTTTTCATTCATTAATGCCGTAGTTGTTTTCCCCTTTTTCCCTCGAATGCCCCGTTCCAAACCAGATGTGGTGTATGACCCAGAGCTGACACGGTCTCTTATCAGTGTGCTGCAAAAGCTCTCCAGTGACAACAGTGGCAGACAAGCCCCGGACGTCTACATTGCCATCACCATTCGAAATCCGGAAACCTATTGCTGCTTTCAGAAGGAACTTGGTAGGTCTTGTTGCCTCTCTGTGCACCGTGGTTCCGTCCTCTGGTGAGGGATGCAATGGAAAGAATCCACATTGCTGGACTGTGCCCAGATTAATCATTCTGCTTAGTAGGCCAAAGTCTCTGCCTGTGGACTCACTGGTGTCTTTCAGGTGAAGCATGAGCCTTCTGTCTACATGGTCCATCTCTTTCTTTCTTCATGCACCAAGGCAAAAGACTTCCTGAGTCAATTAAACCATAGTTTCCCATTACACCCAACTGAGAAACTATGTTTTAGCAGGGTGAGAAAAAACCAGGATCTTAAACCACATTCAGACCATGGGTCCAGGTCTGGTTTGTTTGTTCTGATCCTGATAAGCACAGATTTCCGATCCAGATATGAGAAGCTGATTAATCCAGAAAGCCTCACATTGCTGTGCACCCAAAAAGGTGGCAGGAAATGCAGGAACAGGGCTCAGACGTGTTTCCTCTGTATTAATTTTGCGCAAGTCACCTTTTCTCACTCCTCGCCCTCAACACGAGAATAATCAGCTATCCCACAGCACTGTTTGGAGGGTGAAGTACAATCAACACAGTGCTGCAATGAAAAAATAAATGATTTCAAAGAAGTGGCCTGAAATACAAGAAAGGGCTGCAAACGTTAAGGGCCCTGGCAGCCGCAGTAGACCAAGTGTGCAATCCGGCAACTGCCAGGGCTGCTGTGCTGGTCCTTGGCCAGCAGAGGGGGCCCTGAAGCGGCGTCGGATCTCGACACCAGCCTTCTACGTGCCCTTGCTACACTGCGCCCGGGCCGTGTATAGACACGTAGCTCCCCTGCCTGCACACTGATGTGGTTCAAGTCCAGGGACTGCTGGGTCACATGTTCTGCTAGTGAAGTCTAAATTCGTCCCCGTGGGACGAGTTCAGAGCACAGGGTGGAGGTGCTCAAGGAGAGCATGACATCTAGGAGAGGAGAGCCATGTCTTCATTCTCTCCCCTGGTGACCAACGAACACAAGATCTGAATCGGGCATCAGTAAGTTGCATAGCGGGAAAAGCTTCTGCAGTGGAACAGTTCAGCCGCATCACAGCCGTCTTATTTACTAGCCTGGTCCCAAAAGGTGACCAGAAATTGCCTGGCGGCAAATGCATGAAACTCCATGGACCAGCCTGCGAGGAGGACCAAGCACTCTGTCCTCCGGGCCGAACACGGAAACGCTGTGCTCTGCCTCTTTTCTGCCAGCCCCCCAGTTACCCACGAGTCAGCCACTCTGGTGGCCTTATTTGCAAGGCGGGTGCATCCAGCTTCCTCTGGGGCCATTTCACTGATGCGCGTGACCTCCGTGCACAGAAGCACTGCAGGAAAGCAAGGCTGGGAGGCCTCTGTGCACGTGGAGTGCATCCAAGTTGCTTCCTTCTGCACTGTTTTTCTGAAGGGCAAGTGCACATTGCTAAAACACCACGTACAGTGGCACCTTGGCTCACGAACTTAATCTGCTCCAGGACTCTGGCCCTGACCCAGATTGGTCGTGAGCCAAGTTAAATTTCCCTATAAGGTTCAATGTTAATCTGTTCTGTAACTATTTTTTTTAATTAGAAAAATGTGAAGCAAAGTGACGAACAAAGATCACAGCCATCTCTCCCCCCCCACAACACAACTGCAATTGTGCCCGTCATCCCTGCACACACCCACCATCCCAGTGCGCTGGGGGGGAAGATGAGCATGATTGCGGGCGCGCTGGGGGGGGAGACGGGCGCAATCATGCTGGGGGAGAGGTGGCCAAGATCGTGGTTGCGCTCATGCAGGAAAGACCGGCATGATCACAGCCATCTCCCCACTTGGGTGGTGGGGGGGGGGGGGGGGAGATGGCCGTGATCACAGTTGCAACCCAATGCGGAGTTCACGACCTGAGTCAAAATTTTTATTAAATGTTTGTTCGTGACATGATTTGGTCGTGAACTGAGGCGTTCATGAGCCGAGGTACCACTGTAAAAGGAAGCTAGAAAGCATGTGTGATCCCCTCTCAACTGCCTTTTCTAACCAACAAGTAGCGAAGAAAGGAAAGACATATGTAAGACACCTGACTCTGACGAGGCACTCTGTGCAGAAACTGGACATTAGAAGTAATAGGAGCCTGTAAGTACAAGTAAACACGCTGGGTCTATTTTGCTGAACGAGGTACATTTATTGTTGCAACAGTGTAAAGGATCCATTCATTGACTTCATTCAGTGTCCAGAGTGGCTGCTTGAGAAATGGATATAGAGGGACCAGTCAGCTCCAAGAGGAAACACATTTTCCACAAGGGAAGATTGTATCCAAAGAATCTGTGCAACGTTTATTGGTGGAACTTCTTGCAGCTTGGCTTGTGAACCCAATACACGACTGGGCTTGAGGAGGCCCTGGGGAAGCCACGTGTGCCTTGCATGTGTGGCATTTTTTAATTTCAAAGACCAGATCCTTCTCACAGCTAATCCTAGCAGTTAAGTTATGAGAGATAACTAATTAGAAGTAACTAATAGCTCCTGGAAAGAACTCCACTTGCATAGTCTTTTCGCTCAGAATGCTACTTTGGGCCAGACACCCAGCCCAGGTATCTCAAAGGCACCATTTGCCAGTGAAACAATTGGGATTCCTAATGCATCGGTTCCATTCAGTAAATGAGACCAGATAATTAGAATCTCTAAAATCTGCTGACGAAGTGGGACAAGGATTATTGCAGAAACATCCCAGGGTGACACTTCTCTTCCCATTTCCCATTCCAGAAAAAGTTGGAATCAGATGGCAACTTGTTCCCAGCCCTCAGAAGAACCTTTTTCCTTATGACCGCCGTGCCACAATAAACATTTTAAGACTGCTGCTTTAAGTTTTCTCCCCAAAACCCTCATCTCATAATTGGAACCACTTCAACCAGTCAAGCACCTGCTGTTGCAACCAATAGAGGCAAGCTGAAGTAAAACTCTGGAAGCAAAGGTACGGCTTCACAAACTCTGCCTCCAGAATACTTTGCTGAACTGTACCGTGCGCTGCTTACCGGCATTATCTTTACCAAGTGAACTGTGCAGGAATAATTTCAAAAGAGTTGTATTTGTGCTGTGTTCTTTAATTATGTGTTTGTCCTATTTGTCGTGTCAGAAATGCACTACAAGTAGGGAATCCTGGGAGGTGGTGGTGGCCTCATCAGTGAGGGTGTTCAAGGAAAGACTGGACAACCACGTGTTGGGGATCACATGAGTGAAGCCGGCTGGACCAGACTTGATGACCCAGGAAGTCCCTTCTGACTCGTGCTGTTTCTATGTTTCTAACTGGGCATATTTAAGCCTGACAACGACTGGGGGCAGATAGGATAGCAATTTCCAACTACTTGAAAGGCTGCCACACATGGGAGGGCCAGAATCTTTTCTCAGTAAGTCCAGACTGCAGGACACAGAATAATGGGCTTAAGTTACAAAGAGCCAAATTCCAGTTGGACATCAGTGATGGTTAGGGCACTACAACAACGGAACCAATGACCTCTCAGGGAACTGGAGTCCTGGCAGACTCGAGGGCCTTACAGGCCCCTTCCAGCTCTACAATTCTGTGATTCTATGAATGCTAAATGTTTAGTCCAAAAGATCGAGCAGATGCCAACCTGGGGAAAGCCGTCTCATATAGTTCATGTGAATGCTCTGGAAGTGAGCCATGGTCGCTTCTGTGTACAAAAATCAGCAGGAGAGAGGAGAAGAGATGCCTCCTGCCTCCAAACTCGGAGGCTGACAATTATGCAGTGGCCGGTGCAGGGGGGAGGGGGGTCATCTTCATCCTCCCCCCTCCTGCTGTGCGTCCTCCCTGGATGGGGTGTTTGGTCATCTCGCAGGGCAGCTGTGGAGGCGGAGGAAGAGCTTGCTGAGGACACGAGGCACGGCAGCCTGAGCCCCGCGGTCTCCTCCACGCCTGCCCGCTGCACGCCTCCCTCGCCACGGCTGAATTTCCCGACCTCAAGGAACTGGCCGTGCTGCGCGAAGCGGGGGGGGGGGGGAGGCCAGAGTGCAGCTTTGTTCCAGCCCAAACTCTGTTTTTTCTATCCCTCCTTTCCATCAAAAAGATAGCACTGAGGGCAGTGTAATAGAAAATCCAGATTAACAGAATCTTAATTAAAAAAAATTAAGCCTCAGCGTGCCCGTAGTTTTAAGGCACAACCATATGCACATACTGGGGCCAAAGAAACGCTCCCAAACTCCCACCTTGGTCGAGGTCCAAAATATCTGGAGGATGCCAGGCTGGACAAGGTTGGTTAACTACAGGTCACCATTTAATGTTAAAACATCCATTCATCTCTGTGACCACTGTTCTGGGGGTGCAGGGAGGACTGTTCCCTGCCCCTCTGGGGCACCAGTGAAGCTCACAATCAACAGGAACAGCATCACTGCCTACTCTTGCAAGTACATGACCCTCCAGTCGAAAGTAAAAGTCTCATTATCCTTGACAATTAGCCATGGTAGCTGCAGCTGATGGGATCCAATGATACCCACTGGACCTCAGGTTCTTGCCAGGCAAGCCATCCTGAATTCCACAATCAGAAAAGGAAGCAGCTGCACTGATTTCTAAAACAGGCTGGCTCTTGCCAGAATATGACTGTTGAGAAAGGCTCTCTCTGTCTCTGAACGAGCATCGGGCAGATTTTTTTGGTCACCACCGAAAACCATTTAAAAAAGAATTCCACATGCTATGAAGTTTGGGAATGCACGAATCATGAGTTAAGTTCTACATTTATCCACTAAATCACTGCTAAACAGAGGAAATATTGCCTGTTCCCAGCTTTCATCCCACTGAAGCTGCTTAGCTGTACGAAGATTTCTTCGGAAAAAATTGAGCTTGCTTTTTTCAGTAGGAAATTCCCAGAAAAGCATCTGAAAATTCAGAAGGAAAAGGGTGCACAGGAGAGAAACAAATTAACACAACATTTGCGGGAATGGAAATTTTCTATTTCTTGTAGCAGAATCATTTAAAGATGTAGTGAACATTCACATAATTTATACAAGCCAGCATTCCACAGAATTTGGATTGCCAGGGTGGATCAGGCTTTATTTTTTAAGCAGTCAGTTTTTCCGGAGCCTAGTACGTGTCCGTATCACTTTGTAAATGAGTGACAACCAAAAGCACTTCTGGAGAAGTTCCTGGGGCCGCATCCCAGTGGTGGGTGGAACTGCAGCAGGGCCAGCTTGCCAACTTACCAGAGTAATTTAAGCCCACCCTTGAACCTACTTATCCAGAGATCCATCCCACTGAGTGCAACAAAACTTACTCGCAAGTAACTCGGCACACCACTGCAAGTTCGGGGGATATGTTCTAGCTTCACATCATTGATGTTTCCAAGTAATACATGTGTCTGACCTATAAAAGCACCCACATATCCCTCAAAGAATCCATTTAAGAAGTGATCTCAAAAATGTGTTACCTTCAGCTGCTCTGCCAGTTCACTTGAGTCCCTGAATATCAAGCCGTTTACTTCATGCTTCACGAGTTCATGCAAGCTGTGAAAAAACAAGGCAGCAAGGAGAGAGCCAGATGTTAGCAGGATGGGGCAATCGGTGCACTAAGCCCACTGTCCTGGTTCACATGATCACTGAAAGTTAAAACAAGCCACGGTAGCATGTTTAATCCTTTTGCCTAATCAATTTGCCTAATTACCTACCCAGCGATGGCTTGTCATGTTGTGCAAACCTGGGTGCCATGGCTTGTCTGAAGAGGAAACAAGCCTTAAATACTCCATGGGGCACACCAAGGTTTAAACAAGCCATGTTTAAACCTTGTTGATCATGTGAAGCGATGGCTTGTCCACTTCACTTATGGCCATTCTCAACTGTGTGTGTCTGTGTGTGTGCTTATAAGACCGTGTCTGGTTTCCCATGACATGGCAAACCACCCTGTGCTTTTTCCACAGCCCATTGCTATTTCCCCCCCCTGAACTCACCAGCCAGGAAATCACGTGGTAACCCAGGCAGTATGTTTTCCATACTGGTTATCAACTGCCAGGGCCCAAGAGTGGGCTAGCGTTGCTGGCACTCCTGTGCTACTTGCGGGCTCCCTGTTGGGGCACTTGGCAGGCCACTGTCAGAACAGAATCCTGGACCAGATAAAACTTTGGTCTGATCCAGAATGGCTCTTATGCTCTTATTTTCTTAATGCAAATCACCTCAGAAGCCTGCCCTTACATGAAGCAGTAAGTCGGCAGCTGAATGTGCCTCTAATTTAAATAGTCCAGGGCCCAGTTTTGCTCCCTGGAAGCCTCCTCCTTCAAGCCACATACACACACATGCCCTCATGGCTGCTGAAAAAATACATGTATGGCTAAGACAGAAAGCCACTTCTGACCCTTGTGGCACCCTGGACACGCAGACAGACACGATTCTCCCCACCACACTTGTCTCAGAATGAGATTCCAGGGCAGGCAAGGGCTGCATGCAGCCCACGGGTCTTTGGTTTTCCATCCCGGTAGAACCTTTACCTTGTGGTCACTTGCTCCAGCCAGAAGGCCTACGTAACTTTCAGATCAAATCTCAGAGAGCTTCATGAAGAATAAAGACCCAGCCCAGTTCAAAGCCCTCTCTGGTCCAGCATCCTGCTTCCCGAGCATCACCCAAATCCTTCCAGATACACCCCCCCCCCCCACACACACACACACTGGGGGCCCCAAAGCAACAAGCACCCCATCTCTGCACACAGACCTTTCGCTCAGGGAGAACCACAGGCAGATCTACTCTCCCTCCACTGGCTTAATCCTCTTCTAGAGCCAACTAGGCTGTGCACGCGGAAGCTGTCTAGACAAGCCGAAACGCGAACGTGCCGCACTCTTACCACCGGAAGTGCACCGCACACACAGGCAAGTAGCAGCCAAACATGTCCACCACCTTCATGGGCAGATCCAAGCCACTGGAGGATTTGTGGAGACAAACCCCTAAATCTGCTGACCCTGTAGGAGAGAGTATGCCCAGAATTTATTTTACAGAGATGCTTCCGCTTCTTTGGGTGCCAGTCAGCAAAAAAAAAAAATTCCACAAATTCCCGGCTTATCAGTTCAAGGCTGTTGAGGTTAAATCAAGAGGTGCTGTGATTTTACAATGACACCAACGCAGCCGGAGTTCGCGCTGGATAATGCAATGGGGGCAAATGCATGGCAGGAACAGTAAAGAAGCTGCGACAGAGCCCCCGCTTAGGTTATTTAGACCATTTCTTAAACACTGCCAAGGCCTGGCCATACACTAGTCCTACTTAACACCCAGGAGCCTACCAGGAACCCGGCGGCTGTATCCCATTTTCCGCAGCCGCTCCTTCCTTGCTGGCAGGCGGAGGGCAGCAGAGGCAAGGTGAGAACTCCGTTCCTCTTCTGCTTCAAGCAGGCAGATAGTTGGCTGAGCAAAGGCCGCTCCTTCCACAGAGCAGACCTTGCAGCCGCGTCCCCGTCCCCCCCAGCACTTCAGTACGTGGATGATCCCATCCCACTGAAGCAGAGACCTTCTCCAAGAAGTTCCTTACCAAGCAGAAGTGGGTAGTCTTCTGCTTCCAGCCAGGGCGTGCACATCTGGACATGCTTGAAATGCAGTGCGGCCATCTGTTCCTGGTAATACTCCTTCAGCGGCCCTTTGCCTTTCAGGGACAAAGAGGCATGCATTGGGCCACTGCCAGCCAAAAGGGGATGGGCCTGAGCCTTGGCGTTACACAAGCGGCCAGCCCAAAAGGCTCGAACAGGGCGCTTCCAGTGTGCACACGCAACGCCAGAGGAAGCTCAGGCTTCCTTGCTGCTTCAGTGCAAAGGGCAAAAGGAGGGAAAAGGCAGGCAGATCAGGAACGGAATGATCAAAAGTTGCTACCTGTTACCACACACACTAGAGGAGGAAGCTTCGCCTCTTCAGTGCAATCGCGTTCATATTCTGTGAAACACGAAGAGGGAAGTCACAATTTTTCCCACAGCCATTATTTAGGGCAGTCAGCCATTCATTTAAGAGAGTTCAGGATTTCAAAGCATCAGGAATTTCTTACAGAAAACCTGAGGTAGAAAGGAATGACATGCTCGATGACATGGAACAGCCTGTTCAGCATCTACCTGGAAGCACTGGAAGGGGTCATCTGGAGGTTCGGGCTGAAAGTGTCACAGGTACGCTTTACCTCTCATTTACCTCTGATCCAGGTGAGGCAGCTGTGCAGAGTGATGGACTGGATGAGGGCTGATAAACTGAAGCTTAATCCAGATAAGACAGAAGTGCTACTGGTAGGGAGGATGCTTATCCAGGGGGTGCCACCTGCTCTGCCCCCAACAGAGCGGCACTCCACCTAAGGGGCAGAGCCTGGGGGTGCTCCTGGACTCAGAATTGTCCCTGGGATCTCAGGGGGCACCTGCAGCCAGGAGCACCTTCTATCCACTTCAGCTGATTCACCAACTGCATCCCTATCTGGTCAGGCAGAACCTAGCAATGGTAATTCACACGCTGGTAACCTCATGTTTAGACTACTGCAATGCACTGTCTGTGGGGTTGCCCTAGAAAACGGTCTGGAAACTTCCGTTGGTACAGAACAGGGCTGCCAGTCCACTGACGGGATGGGCAGAAATGAATGTATCACCTGCACTGGTTACCAGCTGAAGTCTGGGGCAACTTTAAGGTGCTTAGGTTAACATATAAATGGCTCAGGGCCTGGATACTCAAAGGTGCGGCTTCTCCCATATACACCTACACAGGCCCTTAGATCATCTAGAGGTCCCTCTCCAGTAGTCACGCCTGAAGGAAGTAAAGAGGGCAGCTACAAGGGGCAATGCCTTCTCAGCTGCAAAACCCCATTTGCGGAATCGGCTTCAGAGGCCCCAGGTTAAAACCTTATTTTCCTGCCTTTTTAATTGTTGATAATCTGGTCTGATATTGGCTTTTAATTATTTGGTACATGTGGAATAGTTATTATATATTGTACTCTATTGCTTTGTTTACTGTTTTTTATGTTGTTGAATTTTATTGTTATTGGGATGTTTTATAGTAGATGTTTTGTTTTAAATGTTTTTAAATTGTTATTTAGTAAAGATTTAAATAATCTGTACACTGTAATGAAAGCACTGAGCTAATCATGTGGCAAAGAAATGCCTCAAACAAACAAACAAACAAAAACATTTTGATCCGTGATGGGCAGGAGCTGGGGGCAGAAACGATTCAACCCCACAGACAGGCGGAGAGAACTGTGCCAGTGACTTGGCAAATGAAAAAGGTCCATCCCCCACCAGGGAGTTTTGTCTTTGGAGCAGCAACTTGCGCAGCTCTGCGGTTCTGCCAGAGACGATGCAACAAGCAGCCCCAGCTCCAGGCAAAAACAGAGGCAACCGCTGCTGGCCAAGTGGTTTCGCCTTTGTAAAGAGGCAGAGGAGGGCGGGCAGGCCTGGATCAAAGGGAGCCTGCTGTCCGTTCTGCTCATGGGCATTCGTGGGGGGGGGGGGGCTATGAAAGCGACCGGCTTCGGGTACTTGCCACAACCCTACTCAGTGCAACATTCCCGGGATCAGCCACGCAGCCACGAAGGAAGTAAGGGGGTGGACCACTATCCCCGCTATCTCACTGGTGGGCTGGACCAGGGTGATCCAGCTGTCGACCGCTCTAATCCCTCCCAGCTGTACCACTGAAGAGAAAATCAAGATATGCTCCATAGTGGATTATGGATTGATTAGAATACCCAGATGATGTCCTTCGTAACCTACCTTCTAATGCTTTTAGCAGAATGGAAAAATCTTCATCTTCTAGAAAAAAAAAGTCCAGAGTTTAATATATAAGCTTACTGCTAACTGTGCAGTTTCTTCTAAAGCAAGCAATTATTACAGGCATGTTTGATTGCTACATTAGCAGTAACTTAGACCGAGTGATGCAGTTGAGACCGTCCCTGTCTCTTGTAGAACCAAAGGATTCAGAGCTACCAGAGGGGACAGGCAGGCAGGAAAGCCATTTCTTCCCTATATTCTGTCAAATTAATTCAAATGCAGTGCACCGCGGGTTAGCCTTCGTCCTGTCTAAGCCTGCTAAAATAAAATATGACATTTAGTGCTGCATGTAATTGAACTGCCAGGAAAAAAGTGTGTGCACGTTGCTGGATCCCCTTGGGACTTTTGACACTCGCCACACTTTACTTTCACAGCACTTTACACTGCGGAGAGAGCCCAAGTCATTTTGGCGCCCAAGGAAGAAGATCCAAACAGTCCCTTCGCTGTAGTGGTAAAAACGGACTACTAAATTACTGTTTGTACCCAAAACTCTTCCAGCTCATTCCATCTGGTGGAAATGTAAGCCCAGTTACAAGCCTTATGGATAAGAGAACTCCTCCAAAAAGCAAAAATAGCACTTAATTTTCATGTGCTTCAGGTCACTTACTTCATTCTGTCAACCAAGGTTCAGTTTGGAGGCCAGGAAGCACTTCCTGACAGTTAAGGACCCCGAGGGTGTGGAATGGGCTTCCATGGGAGGTGGCTGAGGTCCCATCGGTGAGGATGTTCAAGGATAAGCTAGACATGCACATGATGGGCATGTCGTGAGTGGAGCCGGTTGGAGCCAGGTGTCAGACTAGATGGCCCCAGAGGCCCCTTCTGACTCGCTCTGTTTCTATGTTTCTATGTCAGTTTCAAAATGGTCTCTTTAATTCTCACCTTTCCTTCTGGCAACATTACTATTTGGGAAAAGGGGCTGCTGAAGAGTTTGTCAGTGGCCCTGCACAAACTGGAGCAGTGAAAATCCAGCACAGAGCTAGTCACCAGCCGCTCTCACATGGGGAATGCTGCATCCGTGCCACACGCACGCACGCACATGACAAGAAGAACCGCACAACACATTGAAGGAAGGAATCCAACCTGGTAAGGAATCCAACAAAGCAGAGACACAGAAAGTGTCCTCCCAGCATAAGCAGGGACCACAGGAAGCCCGTTGCCAGGGTGGCTGCAGGGCCACCACAACTAAGTAACCACTCGGTACATGGTCATCTGCACTTGAAATTCCCAGAAGCCTTGGGTGACTGAGTCATATAGACATATGAGCAATAACAATCGTATTTCCAACCAAGTTAAGAAAGGTTTCCCCAGAATTTTGGAGCATACTCTGCTCCCATACTTAGTGCAAAGTTCGCAGCTGAATATGCATGCATCCCAAGATACTGGGCAAAAGCTAGACATGAGTTTAGATGCAGACCTGTCCAGCTAGTGCTGCTGATGAGAAGGGCCGGCCGGCCCGGGCCATGTGTCACAGTTCCGCTTCTGGTGTCAAGCTGTGTAAAGGCAGATTGTTCCACATCATCTGAGAGGAGGGGCTCTGCTCTGAGAAGAAAAAGAATTCTGAACACGACCCCTCGAGGAATATCTATAGTGGACATGCACACGCATAAACGCAGGCTACATGTTTCTTTTGATCCATCTCCACAAGAGTAAAAAAAGGCAGCACTCATTCACAGGCACAGCGAGGACCAGTTAGGTAAACAGAGCCCACAGCTGCTGGGCCTCCATTCTTCAGCTGCTAAAGAGCAGCAACATACCCCATATTACACTTATTTATGTATTTTTATTATTTAATTTCTATACCACCCAACCACCAAAGATTTTTGGATGGCTCACATGGCTATAGAAGCAGTACAAGACTAAATCTTCGGGAAGTCCCTGAGCTACTTTAGCTCCCGGACATCCCCCTCACACCGTGTGCCACAAACTACTGCACATCTTCTATTTAAAAAAGGGGAGGATGGTATCCATAGCACTACACAGCATGAAGCAAGAGAAAGACCCAGTTTACCTTCCATAAACCTTCTGGGGCTTCCGTAGAGCTGTAAACGCCATTTCCCCCCACAAACTTAACCCCCCCACACGTTGTAAGCAGCACCAGCAGCAGCAGCAGCAGCCCATGCATTACCCACCCATGCTAGACCACCCCCTGGCTTGGGTACCCCAGCGGGAACAGCCAATTCACTTGTGCACACATGTTGCTTGCTGGGCATCGTATCAAACAAGGACTCGCTTCTCTGTATGAGCAACCACAGCAAGCTCCCATATCCCCAGATCTCAACTCAAATACAATGCTCCGAAGCACAGCCGCTTTCCAAGCCAGGCCAGCTTTGTGCTTAACACTGGTCACCTGGTAGCCACAGAGAGACAAGAATTCCACTCAGGTGAATTCATTGAGTTCACACCACGTACCCTTTTGATGAATGGCGGTCCACTGTGTGCGTGCGAGCGAGCGAGCGAGCGAGCGTTCTGGTGGAGGTGGGAAGGAATGTTTTACGCTTACTCCACCAGCCTGCTTGGTTTCCCTGCTGGCTGTGGCAGGACAGTTTCTTCCCTCACAAACACTCCAGAATGGCAGCGGGAAAGGCAAAGGAGTGACAGATTGTTCTGACTTTTCTCTACCAGCATATGCTTGATAGAAATCCATGTATTAACTTGTTATTAACTGGCAAAAAGATAAGCTGCCTGCATCCCCACACCAGAACTAAAAGAGGAACCCCACCACGGCCAACACGGAAATATGAGCTGCAAGGGCAGTAAAAAATTCTGCATGCTAGTAACTGATGGGGGATTCTGGACTAGGCTGAATAAGGCAAGAAATATCAGACAAAGCGTGACCCATCACGTTCTGGCCTGGGCCTTGGCAGGGCCGAGAAGAAGCCAGTCCCTGCTTCCTCCTACTGCACGCGGGATGCAAAAGGCACAGCCCAAAGGCTTTAGGCAGCCCCCACAAACCACCTGGAAGCTCCCAGAGGGTAAGGAAAAACACTCGAACACATTACAATGCAAAAGCGGCCCCATGATTGAACTTACACCAGCTGGGCTTTAAAAGGAGCATAGTCCTTGGCAAGTTTCATGAACAGCTGATGCTGGACTCTCAAAGGTGTTTCCTTAAAGAATGAAGCTGGCTTGTCATGGAAGGTCACTGCTCTGTAATGCAAGGGGTTCGATGGGACAATCAAGGTACAATAACTGGAAGTAAAAAGGTGCTGATGAAGAATGATTTCACTTGTAAAAAGTACCCCCGAACAATGTTGACACCGAATTACAACTGAAAAGCTCAGGGCAGTTTCTGTGGTACAGGAGGGAGAAGGCACACCTGGCACATTGCGGGATGGCACCCACTCGGCGTTCACAAACTGGACACCAGAGCCCAGCTGGCAGGTGCAGAGAGGGCCAGCCCGCATACTGCCACTCTGCAGTGCACGTGCCTCTGAGCTGGCTTCAAATGTAGAAGCCCTTGGCGAACCTACCATCCAAATACGAACACCAGATGCTAGAGGAAAGCATGAGCTGGTTCAGACACCATGATAATCCACCGTTTCAATGATGGGCTGTCTGACGTGAGTGGAAACAAGCAGGCTGCCTCGGGGGCACTCATCATGTCCACATGCAACCGACAACCTACACGTGCCACAATTTGTTGCTGGATTAACTGGGTTGTTTAACTCTTGAACTATTCAGAGCATCCAAAACTGAACTCCCTGAAAGCAGAAGCGGGAAGCACTGCGGGCACTGGCTCCTGCAAGAGTTCAGCTCTCCATGCGCAAGCCATTCTGCCCACATAAAATTAATACACCTATCAAACCTCAACAGGCCCTGAGTTAACATTTTGAGAAACTTTCAAAAAGCTTTTTTCGTTTTCTTTTCTGGCTATAAATTCAATGTATACCTCTCTTCTAAATTCAACAGAACTAGATAATTCTATATAATCAACTTTACTTTGAGGCAAATGGTCCAGTAAATTCCCTTGCATCATACTCTGCCCATCTGGTCACAATTAATTTTGAGCAACTGGTTTACCTGATGTTACAATTCACCTGAAGATCCTCTTGCATTGCATCTGTCACACAAATGTTATGGTGAGACAAACGACCAAAGAATTCTTCATACCTGAAAGAAATGGACTCAAACAGGTTTTTGCATGGAAATACAAGTTTCTGCCATAATTGTAGTGTCATTTCTAAAAAGTAAGAACATTACAACAGTATAATATGAAGGCCTTTGATAGCCTTCATTTTTCCATCCTATTTAAAGCACAGAAATCCAGTGAATGTTCATATTCTTCCCACACTTTGAATCATTTCTCTTTGTATATCATTAGCAAAGTCTAGGCCTGAAGCAGAAGTTTGAAATGGAGGACAGGGAGAATATTAACACTAGTAATGACTTTAAAATAATCTATTGTTCCTCAAAGCTAAAGAAAACAGTGGCTTGACAGATGTGTAAAAGACAGATGTATCAGTTGTGAGTTACCCGTTGCTCAAAAAATAATACTGAAAAACTAATCAAAATTATCCTCGTCACAACAATGAGAATAAATGCACATCTGGAAGTACAGCCACCCTGAAACTTCATGGCCAAATCCCTTTTTATGGATCTTGTGTCATTATCTTATGTCAGCCTTCCCCAACCCAGCTTCCCTGTCCAATGAGTTGGACTACCAACCACGGCTACCGTGTGTGATGGGAGTTGTGGCCCAAGATATCTGGAGCTCACCAAGCTGGGAGAGGCTGATCTATACAGTCCTTCATTAATTATATGAGGAGTTCAATTGTATTTATTTACAAGCTATGCATGAAGAAGCTTTCAGAAATCTAGCTAAATAATCATCTTCAAAAATGCATTGCTGAGGCCTGTTACTGAGGGATAATATGTGAAAATATCAGAAGCCTATACCACTACACAGAGTGCCTCCTCATATTCTAACCCTCCTGAAACAATCACAAAAGGGCATAAAAGAAATCTATCCAACAGCAATTTATGGAATATTGCCCCCAAGCCAGCTTCTTGGGGTTTTCAAAGCCACTGTGGGGGCTGATGGGCGGGGGAAATTGGTGGCCATGAGTGATATTTTATAAACCAAATACAGAACCCCTGTGGCCCACCGATATCCCAGCTACCAGCATAAAAATCCCTTGTACAAACCACTTAGCAATCCGAACAAGAGGGTGCCTCCTTCCAAGCGACAGGCTCATTATGGTGTATCCATAGTTGTGCCAATCAATTATTAGCTTGCTGTTTCGCAGAAGACAAAATGCCCAGGTAACAGCAATGCTGGGCAAGCCTGGAGGATTCTGGTTGTTAAATGCAAGGGAAGAGAGAGAGCATTTTAGAGCAAGGCTGACAGATCCCTTCTGCAACAACTGCACTTCCCCTCCTCCACTTCCAATCCTTCCTCAAAAGCCACATTTCCTTCCCAGTATGATGTAAGAATGTCTTGGACATACTTATATCAGCAATGGGAACCTCAGGACCAGGGAACAATCCTCCAGTGTTTCACAGAGGTCCAAGCACTTTCCCCCAACCATAATAGCTTGGTTTCCCACCTTCTGTGCAGTTTTTCCGCATGACAAAAGGCTGGAACACCTCTCTTAAGGCTTACCTATGGGCACATGAGCTGCATGGTACAACCCTTAGAGTCCTGCTGGACTATTTTGCAGCATGTATTTTAAAACAAACAAACAAAACAAAACAAACAAACCCTAGGCTTATTTAGGCACACAAAGCCCTACCACTTAAAGCATTCCCCCAGCTACCCATGCTGAGAACTTTAGGACACTTTCTCTGTCTAAACACATGCAGCATTTGCAGGCTGTGTTTATATTTTTGTCCCCACCCCCTTCTGCCTTCAGCTCAGTCCACCACTGAAATGCAACTTCTCCAAAACTGGATTTGGTTCTTGGACTGAAAGAGGTTCCTGCCTCTGCTGTAAAGAAACTCACCCCCAACATTCATAGAAATTGTTTTCAAAGCAAAATATTTGTAAACAAGAAAGTTCTGCTTTTCAAAATATACATTGCCTGTATACCTGGAGAAGAACGCAGCTGGGCCTCGCTATCATAAACAGTGTATAAAGCAGCTGGATGCTCTGCATTATCACTTTTGCCATATACTGGAACACTTTGGGCCCAACTGCAAAAAGAAAAACGGGGCAAGGTTTGGTGGAAACTAAACACCATAAAGATTTTGGGGGAGAAATGGATGCTAGGACAAGTGAGGAAAGAAGCACTGTACAACCTGTCTACAATTACCATTCTGTAACTTATATAGAAACTCATCAAAAGGCATAAGAATAATATCTTGGGCATACAGTGCTATAGCATGCACAGCCTGACGCTGCATGCTTCCCTGCTATGCTGGAACTTCCTTTGGGGGGGGGCAGGGGGGAGGACTGGCTGGAACTGGGAATGCTTAACCTTCCTTGGACTGCCATTAGTTCCCTTTCCCTCAGGCTATTTCTTCTTTGCTAAGATTGTTCTGTCCAGCAGGTGGAAAAGACACAGATGCAAGGAAGAGGGAAGAGACTGGTGAACTCAAGAAGGATTAAACAGCCCTCCAAATCCCCTGTATAATTGTTCCCAAGCCATCCATCTCATGCACAGTAGTTTTATTCAGCACACACATTGTCCCACCCATAGCCTTTTCTACCAAAATGGTCTTATTTTGACAAAAAATACGTTAACAGTACAGTGCTCTCTATACCTTGCCAGATTTTCAACTCAGCCATGTGAACAATTTGTATGTTTTCATTAGTTGTAATTTCACTGTGTGGCTTTGTGCCTGGAAGAAAAGAAAACAGTTTAAGAAAATCTGTCCAGCATACACAGAGGCACAAAGAAATTCAAAAACAATGTTAAGACAGATGAACAAAGACAAGCTCAAGGCACAATCCTTTGCAAGTTTAAACAGAAATAACAACTCCAAGCACTCTTGGATGAAACTGATTATCTGGATCCTTTTCAGTCCGGCTTCAGACCCGGGTACAGTACTGAATCTGCCTTGGTCACCCTGTACGATGACCTGTGCAGGGAGAAGGAC